TCCCTCCCCACATCCCGGGATGGCACAGCTGGATCCCTCCCCACATCCCGGGACGGCACAGCTGGATCCAACCCCCACATCCCGGGATGGCACAGCTGGATCCCTCCCCACATCCCGGGACGGCACAGCTGGATCCAACCCCCACATCCCAGGATGGCTCCAACCCACCCAATCATGGGATGGCACAGCTGGCTCTCTCCCCCGCCCCCAACACCCCAGGGTGGCACAGCTGTCATTTAACGTCATTTTGGCACAGCATTGCCAAGGCCAGAGTGTGTCACTGTGTAGAGATCTCTTGGGGTGCAGCAGCCCAAGCCAGCCCTGCCACAGAGGTACAGTCAGCACAGAATGCCAGAGTGTCCYGAGCTGGAGGGACCCAGGGTCAGCGAGTGCAGCTCCTCTGGCAATCCTGGCTCAGTGGCTCTGGTTCCACACTGCCTCTCCTCATCCAGGGCTGGCTCACCYTGTCCCTGTCCCTGTCCCTGTGCAGCTCCTGCTGGACACTCACCTGCTGCACACGGACAAGTTCATCCATCCTCGTGGAGCTCCTGCGTTTGGAGTTGCCTGTGGAAAGCAGCCACTGCTCCTGGAGCACGGGATTACCCCAGGCTGCTCCCGCCCACACCTCTGGCAGGATCTTCCATCCTTGGCATCAGTGACACCAAATTTCCCCTCCCAACAGCCATGCTTTGAAACAAAGTTTGAAACTTTGCAAGGCAACCCTTCCTTCCMTGGCAACGCCCAAAGCTCCGAGTTCAAGACAAGAATAAAACTCCAGCACCAGTTTCAGTAATTCAATAATTTATTCATCTAAAAAAGTGTGTAAAAGTATATAGCTCTCATCCACAAGGTATATATGAATGACATTTAAAATGGAGGTCTTTTATTATTATTGTTTCTTTTTATCAAAGTCTTTTTTAGTGTATTGTACCAGCGATATACTGTAGATTTAAAATGAACTTCACATTTTTTTTTTTGTTTTCTTTCAAATTGTCGGCTATATATAAAAGAAGCTCACTGCAAAATGCTCAGAGAAAAAAAAAAAAAAAGAAAACAAAAAGAAATTCAGAACTCCCCAGAAATGTACAGCTTTTACATTTAAAAAAGGTTCTGAAATATACATACAAGCATGCTGGACATTCCCCACCCTCCCACTCCCTTTAGCTCAAACAACTGTAATAATAATTCTGATTTAGGCGTGATTTTCCAAAGTTAGAAATAAAAAAAAAATAAAATAACTTTCTTCACTCTGTAGGAAAGYCAGGGCTTGTACATTTCAGATTAATTCAGTAAAAAACTCACAAGTAAAATAATGCATATTTAAGGGAAATATTATACAGAACTTTTCACACTGAAGTACATAAGATTTTTCTTTAAAATCTATTGCCATTCATTTATTTTGCACAAAAACGTATAAATATGTCACCAGCTTCTCTTAACTTAAAAAAATTAAATAAAAGACACCAGATGAAAACTACTCCTTGCTGCCCTTTTTTTTTAATTTCTAATTTTTGCTTAGAACCAGGTTTGTGGGGAAGAAACACCCCTGGATAAAAACGGCCCATTAAAAACAATAAGCAAAATAATAATCCAAAGTTCAGATGAATCCTGGGAACAAATAACCCCCAAATGGTAAAAGATTACAAATGTCTACTTTACATTTTTTTCCTCCCCAAGTTAAATTTTTTTATACAAGTTTACAATCTTCATCTTTTTATGCTCTTCAAAAGGCCTTGAGAATTTTCTTTTCTGATTAAGAAAAAATAGTACTGCAATATTTTTAAAGTCAATTTTACACTGTACACATTAGATACAAATGGTTYGATATCAGATTTTTTTTTACCTATACATTGCAAAGAGGACACCCACACGGAGGGGTGGAGCAGGGAAGGAAATAATCCATTTACAGGTTCCTCCCCTGCCTTCACCTTCTCATTACACAAGCAATTCTTTTTTTTTTTTCTTTTATTATTTTATATAATTTGTTTTAAATGTTACATTATCTCAAGAAAAATACTTTTTAAAATCATAGAATTTCATTTTTTTTAACCAGAACATGAAAGTCTTTTGGAAGAACTCTAAACTTGGTAGTTTTTCTCCCCAGCCAGGGGAAGGGTCACCCAGCCCAATCCAAGTGCCCGACCCCGGCCCCTCCTGCTGCCCAGTGCACCCCCAGAAATGAGGGAATGGGGCTGCAATAGGAACCCCTTGGAGCCTGGAATGAAGGAGTCATAAAAATACTTCAATTAGCCATTAACTTTCCCAATGGCGATCATTTCACTAAACAAAGTAACTTAGCCACCACAGTGGTGTAACTTCAAGTACTAATTTCATGATATAATTTTTAAAAATTATTTCTTTGAAATAATATTCCTATAGTCAGAAAAAATACACCAGATTTGTGACTGATTTAGTGTAAACAAAAACCATATTTTTGGATATGTACATGGACGAGTCTGCCCAGAATTAAAGGGCGACTTGGCTTTCAGTAAATACTTTTCTAGCATCACTAAATTTACTGGAAATATATCTCAATCATAGCTCTACAATAGATTAATTTACCACTTTGCACTTGCCCTGACATTGGGCTTTAAAGTATTTTTCCTCCCTACCTCCCTCTCACTCTTCTCCCTTAGGTAGTGTTATCCTTCATTAAACACTGGCCATTCCTTGCTTTCACCAGGCTAAACACAGGGGAGAATTCCTTAAAATACAAGATAGCCTTACCAGAACACRCTTCCCTTCCCAGACTTTGATTGTTATGAGCTTCACTTTTGATTTCCAGGTCAGAAGAGTGAGAGGTCTGTAGATAAATAACCCTACAGTGGAACGGAGCTGGATTTTTAAGGTATTTCTACTGTTCCTGGTCCTTTATAATTTAATCCCTCCCCTCCCCAAACCTAAAAATAAATAAAGTATCTCCAGACCATTCATATCTACATGGACAGGTAACAAATGCATGCATTCATCCCAATCCACTCTGACAGGAACTCCAGGTAGACAGAAAACTCCAATATTTATATGAGACTACAACTGTGTGGTTTTGTGTTTGTGGTTTTTTCCTCCTGCAAAGTCCCGGTTTACGACGATCAGACAACGAAACACTCAAACTGGTCACTACAAGGTGGGTTTTACTCGCAGGGCTGACACTGCTCGTGGGTCTTTATCAGTTCCTAATGCAAAAAGATCCTGTAGTCTTCCTTAAAAAAATAAAATATTAAAAAAAATAATCACACTGACCAGTAGTTACTGAGCCACCAAACTAACACTGGCTTGAGGTTACTCTGTGTTCACTGTTCTTGGATGTTCCCAGATTTTGGACTGAAGCTGCCAGAGATGTTAATGGGTAGTTTAGTTTTGAACACTGCAGAATTCACATGTGCTTTCGGAGGAACAGAAGCACAGCACAGGACTGGTCTGAAGAGAAGCAAAACCGAGCTCTTTGCGGGTTGTGGCACGTTCCCAGGTGGAGGGGAGAAGCAGCCAGAAGAAGAAGTGCTTGTGTGTGTCCTACAGGATGTTCATGATGGCGTTGTAGAGCTGGGTGAGCACCACGAAGTGCACGGGCAGGCAGGAGCTGCGGTCCTGCGTGGCCGGGTTACACGTCAGCCAGGACAGGGCGTTGTACTGCTCCAGCACAAACCTGCACACAAGGGACACACGTCACTGCCTGCCTGGGCAGCTCTGCTGGCAGCATCTCCTGACAGGGCTGCTGTGTGGGGGCACGGCAGGAACCCCCCTGRAGAGCAGAGGGTTTAGCTTTGCTCTCTCTCAACTATTGGCATGAAGGCCCTCCCCAGTACCCAGAGATTCTGGGCTCACAGTGCTTCAAATGGCACTGCTGTCACAGCCTTGGGGATTGAACACCTCTGGGCACCCTGTGCCAGTATTTGATCACACTGTCCTGTGATCCTGTGTCTAACTGGAATTTCTCAACTTGTAACTCCCATCTGTTGCATCTCATCCTTCCCTTGTGCACTGCAGCCTCCTTTTACTCAACACCTGAGACACCTGTGACAGCCCAGTCCTCCAAGAGGACACAAATTCAGATCTTCTAGAAAAATACTCCCGCACGTTCTTTAGTGAGCCATTCCTGTTCCCTGCTGGTGCTGTTTGTTCRCTGGGGTGTCCCACACTGTGTGCTCTCATCACACACATCTGTGTTCAGGTGCAGCCAAACAGGCCTCACATTATCCCCAACAATACCACAAACACCCTGCATGAATTCAGGAACAATGTCTCCTTTATATCCCAATTCCCAGCACAGTGGTATCAAGGAGTGCTTTTATCTCCTATAAATCCATTCAGTTTGGTGAGTAAAGACCATAGTGGCAGATCAGACCCCAGGTGAACAGAGCARTCTGGGGCAGGCAAACCAAGGTGTCCCCCTGGCAAGGCTGAGCTGTTCTGAGTTTCCTTGGCATTGTTGTGCAGAGCAGTGGGAAACCCACAGAATTCCCCCTCAAAGCCCTGCTCTGGCAGCTAGAGGAGGAGATGCCCTCAGACACACACAGGGCACAGCAGGGCTAAAAACTACTGCTAAAACAAATTGTGTTAGGTTGAAAACCTCTGAACTCAGACACCAAAGGTTTAAGGCAAAAATGAAAACCCAAAGGGTGTTACCTCAAGACATCTGATGTAGTTTTAGAGTCGAGGGGGTGAGGAACTCGCTGAGAATTTCTGGCAGGTAGAAGCTCATCTGTCTGCGCTACAGAGATGTGGTGATGGAGAGAGGCCTGTGCAGAGGGAAAGAGCAGAAATTAACTTTTCACACAGCAGGTACTGCTAAAGATTCCCAGGAAACAGATCCATTCTGAATCACCTCAGAACAGTGTGTGAAGTCATTAATTCTGTGTTGAACCCCCCGTGACCACATGTATTTCTAAATTAACGGTTACATTTTTTGAATAAACCCACTGGAGTTGTGCAGTTGTGGGTGGGAGGTCTCAGGTTCACTCTGACACCACAGACTCCAATGTGCAGCTTTTACAGACATGGAAATAGCAATGGATAGTGATTGCTCCATGTGGAGCATGACAGACCTTCAGGAAGAGGGGACACTGGTTCTGTGCCTGAGGACAGGAGGACCAGAACCACTGCGGGAGGTTCTCTGCTTTGGCAGTCGACACGAAGTATCCCAGAGCCAGAGGCTGCTGCTTCAGCTCTTCCGGGGCTTCTCTGGACAGGAGACGTTCCCCTTGGCTCTGCAAGAGAGGGAAAAGGCAGCTCTGAGGGGCTGTCAGTACAGCCCACTCCTGGAGCAGTGACTTTGCTCATTACTGTCCTGTGACAAATGTGCCATCCTTCAGTCAGTCAGGAATCTCAAAGTTACCCAGGCCTTGCCCTTTTCCTCTCTTCTCCAGGATTACGTTTCAGATTCCCAAAGAGCTGGGAGAGCAGTTCACTCCATCCATAAATGTTCATGGATTAAACAAAAAGAACGATTCCACTGCCCAGAAAGCAGCTCAATGACAAACCCCTCCTGCCAGTCCCCTGCAGTGGGTCTGGACAGGAATCCAAGGCAGGGAAAAGGCCTGGAGCAGGTGGCCCTCAGAGCTGGCACACGGGRCCGTGCCCAGCCATCAATTACTGCCCTGACCCCGGGCCCACGGGGGGATGATCACACACTGCTGCCCTGCTAAAGCCAAACATTACACTGCAATTACCAGGCCTGGCTTAATGGTTCATGGGAATTACTCAGCCTCAGCTGTAAGGGGCTTGTCCAGGGCTCCGGGCTCAGGCCATGGAGCTCCCAGGGCTGCTCCCAATGGATGCAGCTCCACTGACAGCAAGCTCTGCATCCAAGTGGGACACAACAGGGATTGCTGAATGAACTGAAGTGAGACAGTGAGGAGCTGTGATTTATGGTGTAGGGTTTGGCAGCAGAATTTAGGAGTTTCCATTTGCCCACACAGCAGTTTGGAATGGCTGGGACAGCAGGGTGCTGTTATCGAGCCTTTGATGGGAGAGTTGCACAATCAACACAAGGTGGTTGTGGACTGAGCTCACAAAACACAGAATTCRCATTCCTGTGGCTGAGGCAGGAGGCATTTCTCCCTCACTGACTGTATTAATGCTGCCACTGAGGCATCTTGGCAGAGGTTGCAAGGAAAATACAGGCAGGACTTTCTCCTTCCAGGGGTGAAACTACCACCACTTAGTCATGCTCAGGAGTGAGAATTCTGATCTCAAGGCATCTCACTGGCATATCAAAAAAGGTATAGAAGTTACCCTGTTTCTCTAATAAAATACTGTATTATTTAGTAAAGAATTAACATGCTACTGCTTTAAAGTTACTACTTTTAGAACAAAACTTCACAGGAAATTATGAAGCAGTAAACTTTTACCTAATTGTGATGGARACCATTTTAAGAGAACAGCTCAGTCTTACATGATTAAATGTAGGAGTGAAAGAGCTCCATCAAACCTGATCCAAGSTATGCCAATTCAAAAAAGTAACTTGAATTACCAAAAATAATTTGCATTTTAAGCAATCACTGATGTTGGAACTGACTTTATAAAAGCCACTTCAAACAAAAATAACTCCCAAGCGCTGTGTACTCTGGGCTGAATATTCCTAAGAAAACAACATTTGCATAACCATCCAGCACCTGCGGATTTTCCACGGGCAGGGTTTCATCACTGGGAGAATTCTCTCCCTCCTGCCTCCCCTGAAATCCACAGGGCTGTCACAGCTTTCTCTCAAAGACCTGGCATTTTGTGCCAGGGACATTTGGTAGGATTTTCCAGGAAAGAATGGATGAGCACAGATTAAATCTGTACTGTGGCTGTGTCATGCAACAATAAAGCTTCTCTCTTCTCCTCCTCTCTCCCTCTCAATTATCTACCAATTAACYTGGAAGGTGCAAACAGTGCAGAGATACTTTCTCCAGGAGTATTTAACCTTCAATTTTAACCTCAGTTTTCCTTGCTTTTGTGAGAATCTACAGGAAAAGAAGAKTTTGCTGGAGGATTTGGGTCTTTGTGTTTTATTTTAAGCAGTGTGTACCCTACTGTGCTGCAGCCTTACCCTACTGTGATGATAGTGTGATCCCACTCCAGTGCCAGATGGTGATCCAGGGGAAGGAACTGGGGAGGAATTTGGTGAAGAGTGAAGATTCCCTGTTATCAAAATTCTAATGTCATTGTCCATGTCATCTGGGAATGGGAGATCAAACATGTCATCTGAAAAGAAAAAGAAAGRAAAATAATTTCCAATGTGCTGTACTCTTTCTTCTCCAAGAAATGTTTGTAATTTATTACCCTTACCTTTAATTTATTATCATTGCCYTTTTTCTTTTACMTACTCCCAAGATAGACAAAAGCAGAGATAAACACTTTACTGTTTAATCCCCCTTAGAACTCTTGACTGCAACCACAGAGACTTGAAAGGGAAAGTTGGCAGGCAAMTATTGCAATAATGAATTTTAGCAATGGCTGCAGAGTGAACAGAATTCCTGTTGTAGCAGCTMCATAAAATCCAGACTGAACTTTGTAACAGAAGAACCAACACCTCTCTGGTCACAGAGAGCCTTAACAAAACACTTGGAATCATCACACACAGCTCCATGTGCTACCACCACAGCCACTGCTCCTCGGGCTCCCAGAGCTCCACACAACTCTGAACTCAGGGAACAGCCCTGGCAGCTGCAGGGAAACTGCCCCTGGAATCCATCAGGGCACCACAGCCCCACCAACAGCCATGGACTCGTGATCCTTTCACACACTGCCCCAGGATCCCCAACAACACAGCCTCTCATATCCCACCTGCACCTCAGCAATTCCACAGCTCGTTTGTATAACTGGATGCATTGATTTGGTTTATGTTAATATGTGGGGAGGGCTAAAGATACAGGGAAATGTGTTTGCCTGTGCATTCCACTACTCACCATCTGCACACAGGTTACAATACCCTGGGTAAGTTATGTCAGGGAAGGGTAAGGTACCATCAACACAGAGCCAACAATGACAACCATCACAATATGGTTTAGAGGGGGTTTTTCTCACCCAGATTTCTCAGCAGGCAAGAAATAGAAGTATAATGACATTTAAAGTACATTTCAGTGGGTAGACAGGACAGTGGGAGCTGTCTGAATTAAATGCATTAATTAGAACTGCAGCCAAATTTGTACTGCAACAAAAGCCCTAAATAGAGGTCTTGCATCCTACATGTAATAAGTAACAACTGCTCTTGAGAAAGAGGAATTTACTCTGTATGAAATGGAAAAGGATGTGTGTCCTGAACCAATTTCACCTGAAGTATTGAAACAGGCAGGTGGTTGTTTTCCTTCATCTCCCAAAGAGAACCTCTGGCTTGCTGGAGCAATGATTTAACTGAAGTTTATTAACTTGTGTCCTACAGTCTCAGTAAACAAACCAGAGCTAATGTCATGCTCTGCTTGGCCCCCAGAGCAGAAATGAGCTGGCTAATGGCATAGGAAGCAGCTTAATCATTAAGTAGAGCAGAGTTAAGAAAATTAAATTTAACACCATTTTGGAAAAGGCCATTCTTGTACCTGACTGTAATTAACATCTGCAGCACCAAGGGGCAGGTTAACACAGGTTAATGTTTGTCGTGCTCGGGAGGGATCCCGGGGCCTCCTGGCACAGGGATTGAGAGGGGCAGCTTCCCTTCAGAGGCCCTTGGACATTCCAGGAGGGACAGATCAAAGCCTTTAAAGCAGTGGCCTTGCCTTCCTCGACYCCAACCTCGTTAAGACAGCCACTGTACGTGTGTGCAGGTACTCTTGGGTTTAAATTGCTTTGCCACCATTTAAAGGGATTGGGACAAAGCAGGAAAATGCTTTTTAATAATATAAAGCATTAACCAAAGTTGCTGACTCAAACTGCAGGTTCAGTGTCAAACCACTCTGGAGGCATCAGGAAATCTCAGGTTGGGATATTTTCCCTACTTTACAGGGACATCAAAACTTGTGAAGTGCCTCCAAAACACAGGCTGGCCTGGCCAAGTCACAACAGGACAAAGGACAAAGTGTGTTCTAGTCTGGGTCACTCGCTGCACTGGGGAATAAACCAGTGTGACTGAAAACACTCMGGGAAAGCACAGAGTACACGCTGTAGCCAAAGCCCTGTGTGGTTCCCTTGCTGGGGTGGGTTGGGGTCTGTGCAATCCCCAGCCCCCTCAGGGGTTCATTCCTGCCCAGCTCAGCTCTGCTTTGGCCCTGGAAAGGCCCAAAAGGAGGGGTTCCCCTGACTCACCGTTGGTGGGGCTGAAGCCATCCTCGTTGGGGTAGTTTGCAGGAGCCACCTGGATGGTGGCAGAGGTGGGGAACACCAGGATGTGTGTGCAGGAGGCGTCCTGGGGCGTGTTGAGCTGGGATGACTGCAGGTTCAGCGCCGTGCTGCGCCCGAACACCGAGCCCATCGTCACCGCGTCTGTGGGGACAGAGACAGTGCCAGGTCACTGCAACACCTCCCAAACACCTGCTCCCTGTCCAGGGACACCCTGCCCACCCCGGCTGCTCTGCAAACTCACAGACACCTTCAAAGGGCCTGATCTGCAAAAGATTACATTGCTGCAAGAGCTCAACACCAAAACCACCAGCCCCACCTCTCCTGTCATTCTGCTACCCCTTAATCAAATATTTACTTGTTAAATGAGCAAGTTAAATTGATTTTTCACACACATCTCTGTATAATTATGAAATACATCCCACTTYGGTCGACATGAGCACAAACACAAACGAAAGCCACACAGCAATAAAGCTGCTTTCTCCTCCTCTATTCTCAATTATCACCAACAATTAACTTGGAATGTGCAAAYAGTCAATGCAGAGACACTTTCTCTGGGCAGTATTTAACCAGCACCTTCAATTTTAACCTAATTTTTGCATGCTGTTGACCTAATTATGTGTGAGGATCTAAAGGAAAATGAGGTTCTGTTAAGGATTTGGATCTTCCTTTGTGTTTTGCTGTGACATGAAAACCTCATTTGCCATCTGTTTTCTCATGTTACAAAATCTCTGCTTTGAAAATATTCAACTTGATAAGTAATTTTCAAGCTCAATTAATTCTGCTCTGTGTATTAGTSTCTTCTTTCTAAACTTAAAAAACCCCAGAGTGGCTTCTAAGGATATGTTAAGGATTTGTCATCGCATACATTAAAAAGCACATGTTTAGGTAAAACAACAAAGGGAATCTCAGCATTCAATTTTATTTCATCTTAACCCCATGGATTGCTGCGTGTAAGTGAACTCTAAATAACTTCAGCATGTGAGATGGCAAGTGGGCTTGTTCTTATTCCCATTTCCACAGGCTCCCACTCATTCCCACTGCAGATTCCTCCATGCACGAGGATGCCTGTGATGCCACTTCCAGCCCCTGGGAACTGGAGCAGATCAGCAGTTTGACAGTGGCCTACAGTGACCTTTCCCCAGAGCCTGCTCTCTCCATGTAGCTTCTCTCCATGGCATTTTGGGGAATTCTGCTGGCTCAGCCTATTTTCTGCTGCACACAGTCATCCTAGTCCAGGTCTCCACAGAAATCCCATTATCATGCCTAAGTATGAAATGTGATAAAAGCACAGTTTCACTGGCATTGCCATAGCAGGGTAGAACATACCTGGCATCACCACGAAYGATCCCTGTGGCTCCATGGCAACGAGGCAGGCACTGAGGATGGAGGGGGAATCTGCTGCGGAGATGCCGCACATGCGGCAMACCTCCTTCAGCTGTTTGCTGATTGTCTGCAGGGAGCACTCCCCGAGCAGGATACTCCAGTCTGCAAGGGAAAAGCACCGGGGTAGGACAGAGCTGACAGAGCCAGCACTCGCCKGCAAACAGCAAAACATTCCCAACAYTTGGCATTGCCCTAATGCCAAACTCCCCAGGACTGACTCCCATGCACCCTGCAGCCTGGGTGTTCGAGGAATGTTTTATTCCATGGCAGTCTGTTGGCTTTCCTTTGTTCACTACTTTTTTTTGCAAAATATTTTTGTTTAGTGATGTTTAAGGTGAGGAATCACAATTGAGTGCTCTCTATTCCTGTGTCAGGATAACTTGGTTCAGAACATTTTCCAACACATGACAAGGCCCTTGACTTCCCTCGGAAGGACACTGCAAATCCTGCACAACACGAGGGAGTAAAACCCAGGGTACAAACAAGGAAAGGGTTTGCGGAAACCAATACAGGAATTCAGTGCCAGGATAGGACTGCAGGCAGMTGTCCTGTAATCCCTGCTGTCATGGCCCAGGAAATTCCAGTTTGGAGGATCCTGGTGATTTCTCTGCCAGGTACTTCACACTCAGATCCACTTGGTCAAGTGAGCATCAGTGTCAAGACAATGATGGGGACACAGGGAGAGAAAAGGCTTCAGTAGCCCTGGAACAGATTATAAACTAAGAAGACCCTCTTGGCAAGTCTGGATATCTGGCTTCCCCTCTATTGTTGCCCCATCAAACTATGTCCAACAGCAGCTTACCCTGTCTGTGACAGAATTTGGTGCATGTTTATCATGCTGTAAGGTCGTGGTTCTGGGAAGCAGAGACAGGACTAGGRAAGGTTAAGCCAAATTCACCCCATCTAATGTCACTGCATGATGGCAGAGTGTCCCCTCAGCAAGTCTGCAGGTGATGCAAAGTTGTGAGGAATGGCTGAGTCCCCATCCCTGGAAGTGTTCARAAGYTGTGTGGATGAGGCACTTGGGGACATGGATCAGTGCTGGCCTCGGCAGKGCTGGGGAATGGTTGGATTTTATGAGCTCAGAGGCCTTTTCCAACCTAAACAATTCTGTGTTCTGTGATTATCACCCTTTTTAAAGGCATTTTAAAGGCTTTTGATCAGTTTTGAGTCACCTTGCCTTGCACCCCGGGTCCCTGTCCACACTGCACACCCTGGCAGTGGCAGCCCCGACAGTTCCACACCTTTCAGCTCCCCGTGGCCCAGCCGGCCCAGGCGCCCGATGACGACTCTCCAGGGCAGGGACGTCATCTGGACAATGCCAATGCACCACTCCCAGAGCTTCTGCAGCCCAATCTTCCGGGCAGACAGCTTGCTTCTCCTTGACCTGCAGGGGAAGGCATTGAACACAAGAGTGAGAGGAGAATAAAGGACAATATTATGATTCCATTCTCTATAATTATGCCACTGTTTACCCTCTACAGGGGTTCTGGGTAGTCCCTAACTTAGCTTTTACTACTAAAAATAAGGAAAACTATGGGTCTGCATTTCAGCACTGTTCCTGCAGTGCCATCAAACTGCAGTGCCATCAAACAGGTGCTCCTCAAGGAAAGATTTGTAAGCACAACAGTTGTAAAACAAGTGTGACTSCGTCACTTCTTCCTAGCAGGTTCTAAATTCTAAAAGTGCCAACTGAAATCACTGTCACACCAACATGATGTTATGAGCAGGGAAGAGGATGGAAGGGATGTGCAAGGGGCTGTGCAGTGGGTSCATGGGAGAATTGGGCAGTGAGTACCTGCTGGGCAGGTCGATGTTGACAATGCAGGTCTCCAGCAGCTCCCCGTGCAGGTCRGTGCAGGACGCCAGGAGCCAGCGCTGGTCGTGGGACAGGCAGTACCCCACGAAAAGCACGTTGTATTTCTGACTGGCCTCTCCAAATGTCTCTCCCAGCTCTGTCTGCTTGTCTTTGATGGGGGCCAGGATGAAAGGAGGTGAGTACAGCTGGATTGGGCTGGGCCTCTGCAACAATACAACCATCAGCAGGTAGATCAGAAACTACTGAACAGCAGGAACACACACACACAGGCAGTGAATACAGAGACAGGCAAGCCTGAAACAATGAATAAATTCAAAGCATTCCTAGTCAGGAAGGAGACTGGGAAAAGGGGGTTACAGACAATTCACTGCTGACAGTTAAAGCTGATGCACTCCAAACCTCATTGAAAGATTTCATGTCCAGGTAACCCAGGGTACGAAAGGGCCAGTCTCTGRCACAGGCAGGAAGTTAAACTCTCCCAGATCTCAGATCCTCCTGTGTCTTTATCATCTTCAGGCCCTTGGCTGGATTTGCTTTGGTACATGTGAGTTTCTTGCTTTGAGGAGCYCAGAAGGGAGGAGGACAAGCACCTCCCTGGCTGTGCTGCCAGCACCTTCCCGAGGCAGCCCAACAGCAGCACCTCTGGGTCTTCTGCAAAGCCACTTCCCACACGGTCACCCCAAATCCATCTTTGCCTTRGAGCTCCCCTCTGGACAACAAACAGGAGGGGCCTCACCAAGCATGTTCCWTAACAAAGAAATGGTCAGGGCATTTTCTTAATTCTTCAGGAAAGTTTGGGAGTCTGCARTGCAGACCGAGAGCAAACACATCAAATGCAATATATAAAATATAATTAAATAGAGATTAATTAAATGCAGTAGGTAAATGCCAACAGGTTTGGGTTATGGTGATTTTGCAAGGAGGATTTTAAACCCTCCCAAGCAGCTCTTTATGCTAAGGTGTTTAAGTGTTTCATTGGTCCATTAGATCTAAATAAAATATTCATTGTTATCTTTCAAAAAAATGCAAAACATTCATAGAAAGTAGGATGGATTATTCTTCCTTTGAAATCCATGAAATTCCAGAATCAGAGCTTTAATATTTACAGTTTCAAAACAGATGAAAGATAAGCCCATCGAAGAGGGGAATTTCTCCATTACCTCAGGGAATTAATATAACATCTGCAATTAGGCACAGGAACTTATTTCATATATATGCATATATATGTGAATGGAAATAAAGGTTGGATTTAAATTCTGGTTGGAGCACTASAAACTGAAACCACAAAATTACTCAGAATCCCAAGTAACGATGTTCATTTTCTCTTCTTTCACACTAATCTTTAAACTTTTACTTTATGACTCAGAACCAGAAGCTTAAAATATTTGAAAGCAAGTTAGTCTGGTATTTTTCTTACTGTTTTCTATTGCATATTAGCTTGCCTTTTCCCTTTGTATCATCACTGTCTTCTCCACCTTGAAAAAAATCCCGCAACAAGTATTTTCTTTACTCTTTCTCTCTGATATTTGATGAAAGTGGTTACAGTTTAAAACAGACTTTGATTTTCTTGCCACCAATACCAACCTCAGGATTTTTGAGGGTCATCTCAATGCTGGCAGCTGGCCCGAAGCCCGTGAGGGAYTTGATGTGGATCTGTGTGGGCAGGGGCCTCCTGCACTGGCAGTACACAGAGAACGCCAGAGACTTCAAGTGCTGAATGTAGAAAACCTGTTCATCCTTCATTGTCTGCAGCATGTACTGGCAAGGCACAATCTGTGGGGTTCAGACACACAGGAAAACAGGGCTGAGAGGCTTCCAGGAGCTGATCATGAATATCAATACACATCCACACAATCATCAATCACTGAACACCCAGGACTCTTTGGGATGCTCCATGATTTGAATTTCAGATCCCTTGGCAGGAGTGGCTGCAGCAGCCAGGGGCTGCATTCCCTGGGACAAAACTGCTGCTTCCATCACCATGAGAGTGTGAATTTTAATCCATAAAACCCAARACACCTGTATTCAAACACCCTGAATTTTTTTAGGAGTGTTTTTCTGACCAACATCTTCACTTGCAGGTGACCTGAACCACACAATCCCTGAACGTTGTGCTCAGGCAGGGTTGGCTCCATGGCTCGTGGTCAGGATTAGGAATTGTTTGCTGGCACGTAGGAATTGGCATTATGGTGTCATCCTTATAGAGGGTGCAGAGGGCACAATGAAGATTCTGTTACAAAGAATTGATTGGTTGTTTCTCCTTTTCAATTTAGTACCCACTGGAGGCTGCTCAGTTTTGTTTCACAACGTCATGGGAAGCAGCCCACGAGGATTCAGATGTTCAACCAGCAAGAACCAGAGCTACAGGGAGATTTGCCTGTGGGATGTTTGGGGGTTAAGATCCAACTACACACTGAGAACAGAAAGGAGAAATGGCACAACACTCCTTCAGAAAGAAACAAAGTCCATGAMAAAAATCCAGATTCCATTTTAAAACTGGAATTAAATCCCTGTAACCTCATTATTTTTTATCTACTGTTTTTTTTATACAAGTCCTACATGTAGCTGTGGAAGTGTCTCTCCTTTTACAGTGAGATCTTTGGAGCAGAAACTGTCAATACAAAACATTTACATTGTAGCCAACACTACAATACCCAAACAGATTTTTTTTCAGCAAATACTTAAGTAGTAATAAAACCTAAGTGTCACAAAACTTTGACAACTTCATGATTCTTGCTTGAACCACCAGAACTTTGGCAGCACATTCTGCTTGCTAAATGTGCCTGTGTGTTTTTAAAAGCCAGCTTTACCCAAGGATTTCAGGAGCAGGGCTTCCCCCTCTGTACAGGAATTGTAATAAAGCTGCAAACATTTGGGTTTGATTTATTCAGAAGTAACTGCATGTTGTATATGCTGTGTATGCTGKGTACAGCTGTGAGAATACAGTGCTGGAACCGGATCACGTTTCCCTTGACTTGGAGAAAATTGCTGTTTTGACTTCAACTGGCAAAATGCATTTTGAGGAACAAACAGTAAATGTGAAAACAAACAGCACAGAGAGCAGCGGTCAGTGTGATACAGCCTGAGATCCAATGGCAGTGCAGAGCTTACACCATTCTTGTTTCAGACACCGTGGGATCAGTGACTGCTTCACTTTTACTGTCTCCAGGTCTGGATCAATCAATTGCCTGCAGCCCACCACGATATGAAGTTGTGGATCTGATTTTCAGTTCATCCCCAAGCCTGAAGSATTTTGGTGACAATTTGCCCCATCCTTTCAGGAGACAATGAGGCCAAACTATCAAAAACAACAAATGTTTTCCATGCCCRATTTGCCACACCAAGAAATTCCAATTTTTTTWWAAATTATTTTAAATACTTTTGAGCCAAGGTGAGCTGACAAGAACAAGGTGCACAGAAATCCTTCCCACACTGTTTCTGCCTGTGTCCTCTGGCCTCCCATTCCCCCCACATTCATTGAGGCTGAGCCTCTGTGACAGAGGGGGCCTGGCAAAATGCAGCCAGCCYGGGCAAGAGGCCAAGGGCTGCTTCTGGCTGCACAAATTCAATTCTTCAGCAATTCCATAGTAGTAACTGTTATTATATGCCAAGTTACATGGTAAATTATTTTTAAGAAGCAGATAATAACAATACAATAGTTGTATTATACATTAGATGTCTGGTTTCAYGTACTTCTTTTGCATTAAACAGTATAAATCAGGGGAATATAAACAGCAAACAACTCAACATGTAAAGGAATCAAAGGAACCACTGCCCAGTTTTGGCAATGGCAACTCAATTGAAGTCCCTCTCCAGGAGCATGGATTAGATAGGATTGCAGAGACCATGGGACAGATTTGATGCAGGGATACTGTGGATGCTCTAAATAATTTCCTCATCAAAACAAACACAWGGGGTTTTTTAATATACAGGCTCATACTGTCAACAAAATAATTTGTAAATRCCACCTACATTTTATATATTAACTCCCATTTTTCTCCTTTAGCAGAGTGTCATGTCACAGGTGCACTGTGACAGAGGGGCTCAGTGCGAGGATACAGAGGAAGGCAGAATTACCTGGAGAATGAAAGAATTCCTCATATTCTCAGGCAAGTTGTCCAACATTTCTGTGTAGCATCTCATGAGGCTCAGGAGCCAGAAGTTGCTGGAGGCAGACTCCTCGTCGGCAGTGTAGGTGAAGGGGTCCACCATGTAGATGACCACRGCCGGGGGGTAGGCATTGCTGTCCGCAGCCTCGGGCTCCGTGGGGATCCCGATCCGCTCCCGCTCCGACGCGCTGGGAAAGGCAGAGCCAGGGGTGAGCACTGCTTGGGGCTGGAGCCAGGCTGAGCCAGGCCAAGGGAAGCATCAGGAATTCTCATGGCCAGCAGCAAAACTACAACCCRTGAGGCTAGGGATTGAGATGAGCTGTGCTCACAGCAGCTCCTAATCTGAGATACATGGGGTTATTTATGCATTAAAGACACCACAGAATCTAACAGCATCTCAATGAACATGATCAGACCAGATTATGGCTGAAGAATATGGAAAAGCTGCCTGCTGTTAGCTCTGTGTGTACATGTAGGTGCATCTCTGGGTTTTGGTGCAGTTTAGGGTTTGCTTTCAGGAGAGGTGGAATGGGGAGARCAGGAATTTAGGAATGCCAAAGCAATTGATGGAGCCTGGAGTCTGCTCAGGTACAGAGAGGGCTCCACTGGTTACAGGCTGAGCATTTCTTACTTGGCAAAATGCTCCTCCCATGCCTCAGCCAGGAGAGAGAGGCTCAACATCTGCAAGTGATCAAAGCAGCTCAGACTCTGTCAGAAGCCCCTGCAGCTGCTCCAAGGGTGTTTTGCACAGATCAGGGAACAGATGTCTCAAGGACAAGCCCAGCTACAGCAGGATGTGGGCTTTTCCTCTCYGTGTAACACACACCAGAACTATCAGCAATAGGCATTATTATGGMGTAATGAAAAACATGTTCCCCTAGGAAGTTACTTATGATGCTAAAAAACCTTTTCTTAATTTTTATGTGATGGATGGCTATTCATAATGAAGTCTTAAAAAACGTTGTGCTGCCCAAATTTATTTGAAAGTAACAGGACTACAATTATGTCTCATGACCCCACCATGTGCCTGCTTGCAAAACAACACCTGCAATGCAAGAAAATTAGGGGGAAAAAAATCTATGGCTTGCATTTTGCACCTGTTAATGTTCCCAGGTGTGATGGAGCAAGAGGCACTCAGCTACACAGGGTACCAAGGCACAGGTGTGGCACAGCACCTGAAACACCCCATGTGCTCCTGGTGCTGCATGGACAGGCCAGCTGGAGGGTCCTAAGGCAGCTCCACATCCATGCAGCTCAGTCAGGCTGGGATTCTTGYGATGGAAACAGGGAGGGGTGTTTTTCCAGCTGCCCTTTATCAGTGACTGCTTCAAACAGGAACAGGCCCTGCTCCAGTGGCACCTGCTCRGCTGTGCTGCACTTGTCAGAGGGGCCTCCCTTCGAAGGGTTTCCCTAAGGGGCAGAGTGTAGGACAGGGGCTTAGGGAGCAGCACTTTGAGCCGTGTGAGCGCGTCACTTACCCTTCCTGTCCCTCCTGCTGCTGCTGGGGCAGGCTGGGGCCGGGCTCGGTGTCCACCCCGGGGCCGGTGCTGCCCTGGGTGCGCTCGGCCGTGCCTCCCGCAGCGCCGCTGCTCTGCCCCGAGCCCGCGTTGCCGCTGAAGCCGGGCGTGGAGGAGGTGCCCATCTGGCTGGCGCCCGGCGTGGCGGAGGACGCGGACAGCTGTGGCACCGAGGAGCCCGAGGAGGAGGCACTCCCGGCTGGGAGGCTCGTGGTGCCCGCGCTGGGCGTGGAGCTGAAGGAGCTGCCCGTGGCGGGGGCCCCGGCGGCGGAGACACACGAGGAGGAGCTGGAGGGAGCGGGGCCCGAGCTGCCGGGAGCTGCCTGCGGCTGGCTCGGAGCCGGCGACTGGTACTTGGGGGGCAGCAGGAGGCTGCTGTCCAGCTGCAGGGTGGCCAAGTAAGGTGCTGGAATGGCATGGGAAGAGGGATTAATGCCAGATCAAAGGAACCTGCATCAACYTGCAGCTCGGATAACACTCCCTGCACTTTACAATGTTCTAAAAGTATACAAGTGCTAAGAGAATGGAATCTCCAYGACCATTGTTTACTTTGCAATCCATTCCTCGCGGTTTCAGTTCAAACTGATATGACTCAATTGTCTTTAAAACCAGGACTGACTTTGCAAGGCTTTGTAATTCCAAGCTGGCACTGACACGTTGTGATCTCCGGCCAGACTGGGTGGCAATAACAGCCCTGCACACTGCTCAGCTCTGCAGTATCTGACAGGTTAGCTCTGAGAGTCTTTTATATCTGAGCTACAATCACAGCAAACTTTAATGTAGTTATCTCTGCTGTGAGATACCACAGTGATAAAAGAATGTTTATTATTTATTTGCTCTCCAAGGTGGTAAATCACCARTGGGGAAATTTCCAGTGCTGGCCCTGCCAGATGTCTCAGGTGTGAACTGAGCAGCCCAGTTCCTCACCTGGCTGAGCACATGCTGCCTCTTTCTGCAGGGAAGCCTRAGATACTTCAGGAGTATTGTAATAATTCCTCCCCTTGCCATCATCCCCGTGTCTCATGCTAAGATCCCAGCTCTCAGACACACAYATAATATATGGTGACTCTAGAGCCATTCTGGGAGGAAACAACCATGTTTCTCCCCAGATGAAATCAKGTGACTCCAGGGACTCAGCCAGGATCAGTGTGCTGATCCCACCCCAGCAAATGTGATCTTCTGCACCCCCAGGCTCTATGTTCCCTCAGCAAAGTGCTCCTGACGTTGGTGTAATGCAGAACAAACAGGGCAGGGTGCCATAACAAAAACAACCAGGCTAATCTTTTACAAGTRTTGCTCTTTCAGGAGGGAAATAAGMCAGCATGAGGTCCAGAGGAGCCTGCAGGGTCATGCAGCTCCAAAGGTCACACACAGCAGTGTCAGGGCCCAGTCACCAAGGACTCCAACACTTTCTCTTCTGCCCCTGTGCTAACTCATTGCCTTTGCAGAGTCACAGTGGCCTCCCTTCTCCTCTAWATGCACCTTACACTTGAGGGCACCATGACAGGGCTCTGTCACACGGCTGGGATGAGATGCCAGCAGCAATGAACCAGACCCATGGACACCTTCAGTCTTGTGTGGAACACCTGCCCATCCCTGGCAGTGTCCAAGGCGGGCTGGATGGGATTTGGAGYACCTTGGGACAGKGGAAGGTATCCCTGCCCATRGCAGCGGCTGGAATGGGATGAGTTTTATGGTTCCTTCCAACTCAAAGCAGTCTGTGATTCTGTGATCTTTGTGATACACAAACACCTTTTACCAAACTGATTTTCTAAAAGGGTAAGAATTGGCTTTTGAATCTCTAACATGACCCCTACAATGACAAACAACACAACTTTCTGAAATAGGCAAATTTACCATGGAACCATTAAAAAATTAAGAGATAGCCTTGTAATACCTTCTTAATTTTTAAACAGATGACAGTGTGCACCTTTAGAAAACCCACCCCGTGGCTTTGCAAATGCCCCCCCCAGTCCCCAGAGACAGCCCCAGGGCTCAGGGTGTCACTCACCGAGGTGATGGCGGCAGACCTGCGCGTAGAGCTTGAGCCTGGAATGATTGTCACAGTCCTCGGAGCCCCAGGGCTGGCTGAACCACTCGCTCACCAGCTCGTCCGTCAGCTTCTGCGCCACGCTCTTGCCCACCCGCATGATCCCGTCCCGCAGCACTTTGCAGATGGGCTTGTGCTGCCCAAGCCTGCACATCTGCAAGGGGAGAGAAGGACAAACACTTTGAACTGCCACCAACCACCCCAGAAAGTTCTGCAGACTGCTTTGTGACCTAAACCCTTCATTCCCGGCACACAGCTGATGTCTTCTTTAACATTTCTTCTTTAATAAACATCTTTAAAAAAGGGCCTCATTTATCTGTTAGCTTGAACTTCACTCACAGCAAAACCAAGGTTACAAAGGAATCTCACATACTGGGGAGTACATGCTAAAGAAATAAATGCTTTTATCCCCAGCCTAGCAATTCTGAGAAAACAACAGCTTCTTTAATGTGCTCCTTGCTCTTTAGGCTAGGTTGGGCCATCACTGGGAGACTGCAGCTCTGTTAATGCCACTGCTGCCACTGTGAAATCACAGGGTGGAAGCTGGGAAAAGCAGGCAACAACAAACACCCCAAAACGCCCAGAGAATCCATCCCAGTGTCACTCAGATAGCATTCCTGGACTCTGGAAGGGCAGAAAGCCCTCAAAATGAAACAAACCCCTTCTTCAAATCATTGTTACTTTAAAGCCCATGGGTTTATCCCAGTGGACATGCACTAGAGCAGCAATGAGACTTAAGAAGCAATAATTCAGTTTCTGAATTATTAGGAAAGTTTCTCCAACCTCGTATACAGCACTCAAGTCCCTGAAGAAAGTTTTGGCTCCGTCGAGCAAGGCCTCGTTTTCCGGACACACCACGATGTAGGCGACATCCCGATGGCCCCCGTATGGGTCCAGCAGGAGCCTCTCCCAGAAGGGCAGGGAGAAGGGAGAGATTGTCAGGAAATCCTTGTCATAGCCCACCAGCAACGTYGGGATGGGGAGAGGCTCAGGGGATTCCTCAGAGCCTTCACAGGGAAAAAAAAACAAATAAAGAAAATATGTTAAAATATCTGGTTCAGTTGCAGTGGGTCTCTGATGGCCCAGGAAGTTGGGCTCTTTTACAGGAATATTGGAAATCACTCATCCCTTGCTGTGCTGAGTGTCCTACAGGTTTATATGGAGTGCAAATGGTAATTGAGGGTGTGCCATGCYTGATAAACCATGTGCTCCCAGCCTTTCTTCTTGGAAAAAATTTTTAATAAAGGAGTGGGAAGATTTATATCATACTTAAGAAATGTCATATAACCAAGGTTGTCAGCCAAAGTGGAAGGAGCTGATCCAAGCACCACTTAAACTTTCCTAGAAAGCTGCAATAAAACATCTCCCAGTGTGCTCCAAGCACACACACTGCCCTTCCCAAGGTTTCATCTCCTGGTTTTCCTCTGCCATATCCATAACCACAGCTCAGGAGTTCCTGTTCAATCACAAGTAATAACAGGAACACAAAACCTGACCTTACTGCTCTTCATCCAGCTCCAYCTGGTTGTGCAAAATTACCGATGCTTGGAGAAATCCATTCCCAGGTATATAATACTACACAAAGTTATCATAATTGTAAAAATTGCCTCCTTCCCCTCTCCATAGGATGTGCTCTGAGCACTGCTGTCCCCACAGAGAGGATTATTATCCATTGTAACAGGGAGTCTCCCAAATACTGCCTCAGTAGAAGAAATATTGCTGAAAATGTCAAGCTAAAATATACCCWGTAGTTCCTGCAGAATATAATTCAACTTTATTAAAAAGTCAGCATCCAGTAAAATTCACTGACTTTCCATCAAAAGCTCGGCTCTGTACTCCATGGGAATTCTGGTGTTATTCTCTAGTAACAACTGGAAAATCCYAACTCTTCAAGTTACAAATGCTGGAGAAATTATTTTAAGTGCTTCTGGTTGGGCACAAGAATTTTAGAGAGGAACTGGAGTTTCCCCCAGTTGTCCCAGCCCTTAGGAAAGCAGCAATRTATCAAATACCAATAGAGAGGAAATAGAGCAAAGCATGGTGGAGCTCTAGGATAAAACCTAAACCAGACTGCGCTGGTTAAGGCTGAAATAAATCGCAGGCAAGAAACACAGATTGAAATGTCAGTSGTTATTCTGCAAAAGTGCACTGACAAAATCTGGTTTGTAATTTGCATTTTTCACAAGTGTCACTTACAGCCAGGAGATACAGAAACTTCTCATTAAGAACTATGGGAACCCACGTGGAGAAAGCATTCCCAGTTTTTATGGATTTACAGAGCTCACACAGCCCCTGTTCCTGCTAGGATGTGGCTGATTTCAGCAGCTCCCTCTGCTCCCATTGTGTCTCTACCACATCCAAGTGAGGATGCTGAGCCTCACCCACAGCTTCTGCTCCCTGGAGGGGCAGAACCTCCACCATGGTATCACAAATGCCTTTTGAGGCATTTTAAAGCTTCCTCCCTGACCCCAAGCTGTACAAAGAGCCCCTTTCTAACACATCTGCAGAACAAAGTGSCCATTTCTAGGAAGCTGCACTTGGCACAGCCCCCAGTGTAGGTACCATAGGTGCCCCGTCCTGCCATCTTATGGAACTGCTGCCAGGTGAGTGGTCCCTGCACGTGCTGGATGTTCTCCCAGGTCCTCCCCGTCCGCTTCTTCTGGATGGCATCCTGGAGGAAGGGCTGCAGGGAGAGCAGCATACGCACCACGTCCTGGGAGGAGAGCATGCTGATGTCCAGCACTGCAAGGGAAAGGAGCAGCAGTCACTTCAGGCAGGGACAGCAATCCTTTGGACACAACAACACAGGATCATTCCTGTGAATTGCTCTGCACACTGTCCATGCAATTGGGGCAACTCTGATTAGCTGGATGGCACTTGAATGTGGTGCTGTTCAAAATCACTGCTGTCACCACAGGCCTTTACACATACCTTTCAGTGCCATTCTGTGTCCAGCTCAGGTCACAAGAYGTCACAGCATTTCCAGTATAAAACAAGTAATACTTAATTACAGAATAACTTTTTTCCCTTGACACCTTTTCCCCTTCTTTCGCCTAACACATATAGAGCAATTATTTTCCACTGACTGCTTATACCCTTCTTCAAAATTAAAAAGGGCCCTAATTCTGCCTTCCCTGAGGCAGAATACCTGAGTTTGTTTTCCCTCTGCTTCAAATTTGTGAACTTCCACAGACTCATTCACAATTTAGGCCACAAATTCTGAGGACGGCCGGATTATTGGTACTTTAGATGTCATTTATAAGCTTTCAGAAATCTACTTTATCTCTAGCRTATTTTTAGGCCTATCATTTCCCACATAAAGATTATGTGGGTCACAACTAAACAAATTTACAGAGGTCACAAAACACTGAGAGACAAAAGGCTCAGCTCTGCCCGTACCGTTGCTGTGAGGCCAGGAATGGACAGTGGCACTTCGGACAAGGGCTTCGTCCACCTTGCCCCCCGTGGGGTTGTCCACRTACTGCCTGCCCTGCTCCAGGGCGTTGAAACACTCCACCCAGGAGTCGTTGCTGTCAGCCTGCAGCCGGTCGTAGCTCCAGTTGACACAGGGCAGCGTCTGGCGGTTGTTGGAGGCCATGTAATCCAGGCAGCTGAGCGAGGTGAAGGGCTGCGTGTGCTGGTTCTGCAGCAGCAGCAGGAGGCTCATGGGAGGCTCCTGGCTCCTCCTGGCCCCCTCTCCCATCTGCGAGATCAAGTTGCTCTGGCAGATCATCAGTCTCCTTTCTGCAGCTTGGCCGATGTCCGAGGTCTTGCCGAAAATATCCAGCTCATCCTCGATGAAGAGGCCGGAGTTGTAGCCGAGTTTGCGGTTCATGATGGCGCTGAAGCCGCAGGTGCAGCGGTACTGATCCTCGTTGGACGAGTCAGGGATGTAGAGCCCCACGTCAGCACCCTTGATGTTCATGTTGCAGGCGCAGATGCAGCAGCTGTCGAAGTTCCTGTCCTTGAAGATGTTGAGCACGGAGTCGGAGAGGATCAGGGTCACGTACAGGCTGTGCGCCTCCGGGATGGGCTGCACCGTGCCCGGCTCCACCGAGTTGAGCGGGCGCGTGGTGGAGGGCGTGGAGGCGGGGGAGCCCTGGTCYGTGCTGTCGTATTTGACGGAGCCCTGGCCGCTGGCGGTGCCCCCGCCCCGGGGAGTCCTGGGCGTGCGCGGCGTGCGCGGTGTGGGCACGGAGAAGCGCGGCGTGGCCGGCGATGGCAGCACCCCTGCGCCGCTGTTGCTGGCGGGGGCCGCGCTGTTGAGCGTCACCGGCGTGCTCATCTGGGGYGTGCTCATCTGCAGGTAGTCCTGGTCCAGGCTGCCCACGCTGGGCACRTTGCTGTGGGGAAGGGATGGCAACACAGAGCAGGCTGTCAAAGCTCGTTTTTAAATACAGGATGGTGAAAGATGGAAGGAGCCACCGAAACTGCGGCAAACACTGCCCTCATAACCTCTACTTGTGGCTCAACAGAACTCAAAATTCTCCCCACGAGCACCACTGGTTCTTATCATTATGATAAAAGGTATCACTTCACCCTCTGAAAGATTATTCCCATGGCCTAAAACTCAAAYGCTCTTGAGAACAATCTCTAGAGAAATGATCAAGTTAAGATTTATGATGTTTGCAACTTTTTTAGGGAAAAAGGAATAGTAGCTTTTATTTTAAACACCACTATCTGTGAAGAGATACAGATTAGTGGAAATGAAAGTATTTCAGATAGACATCTTTCTGTACTTTAGAAATCACTTTAAACAGCTGTCAGAACTCATGCATGTGGCACTGCTGCACGTGTCACCTCATGGTGACACTCTGGATGTCTGATCTATAAATGCAAATGCTCATTTTGGATTGCACAGTCTGTAGCACAATGGGACACATTCCATTACAAACTTAGTCCAGTAAAGCTAAGAATCATATTTTTGGATCATCTCCATTCATGGCTGGGTTTTATTACTCTGTTTTTGTCATTTCCTGCCAAACCCAGGTGACCAAAGAACAGTTTGTACATTCCCATGAGATCTACCTTCCATTTGCAAGGATTCATTTCAATAAACAGGTAAYAAGGGGTCAATCAAGGAAAAAGATCTTTACTTTTCTCTTTCCACATCACTTCTAACCTGCTGACTTTTCTTGCAATATGTTAATTACACAGTAGGGCAAGGAAAGAGTGTCCAGACTCAGTGAGTCTCTGGATAAGGAAGGGGTAACAGGATTTCTCCATGTTTGTCTGTCCTTACAGTGTATTTTGTGTGYTATTGGAAAGGGCTATCATTTGAATGCCCAACTATCATTAGCGACTTGAAAAGGGAATCACTGAATACCTTGCTCCTCACAATCATTTTGTTACCTTGAACTGCYGTGTGTCCAACTCAAAGCAGGAGGGAGAAAATAATGAAGCAGGGTCTGAAGGAGTTGTGGAGCTGCAGCAGAGCGAGTGCCTCAGACTAATAAGAAAAGGTGACCTAGAAACTCTGATTGGCAATCACCACTCTGTCGGAAGCCTGCAGTAATAATCCTCACTCTAATTGGATTAGATTGAAAATGAAAGGGTTTTTTCCCCCAACAAATACCTGAAATTAATAACCACCTCAGGCCCGGTGCATCAGTTACTATTATGAAAAAACCTGAGAATTAAATTGCTCCCTAGGCACTATATCAAGGGTTTACAATTTCTCCTTTGCAATTCTTTTGAGAACAGTGAAGGACCCTTTGGGSCTGCAAAAGGACTGATTTAAAGGATTTACAGACTGATTTAAAGATACAGACTGCTTCCTCTAGAAATGGAGCAGTGCAGCAGGAGACCTCTGTACTATCACTATGCCTTTTAAGAGGTTTTATTAATTTAATGATGTACATTCTTGCTAGCTTGCAAAACCTCCAGCAATGAATTTCCTCCATAAACACTGCTAATTTCTGAGAACTGAGTGAGAAATCCAAGCTTTGGAAATGAATGTCAGTGGGTCTGTGTAGGCCACAGCACTGTCCCAATTTGGAATCTCCTCTTTTGGTATCAGGAAGGGTGGGACAGGACAGGTCATGGACCCAGGTCTGTCTGATCAGCAGCTCCCCTGGTCCCCACTCAGGGAACACAAACTGGGGAGCCCTCACAGGCCCACTCAGCATTTACAGAGACCTCAGGAATCTGGAACTGGAATCACCAGGACCCGAGATCACCAGCCTGGAGCTCAAAGTGGCACATGGGAGCCAGGCTGGAGGCTGGACATGGAAACGGGAGGGCAGAGATGTGACTGGTTCAGTGCACTCATGTTGCTCCCCAACACTTGTGGTTCCTGTTGAATTGCAGTGTTTTCTTSTATCAGAAATTGCCATTAATTCAGGTACTGCATGTTCCTGCTCTTGTCAAAGCACTGAGAATGAACACACACTGTAACAGCCATGACTGCCAAGGCTGGGGTTAAATCACATGTTCCTGCTATCAGAACTGTTTTGATCCCAGTCAATGACAAACCTAAAAGGTCTGAAACACATTTACAGGTTAAAGCACTGTTAATACAAACAGCCATTTCAGTTACCCCTGACAAACCCATTTCCTCCAAGGCTGTACTTACTTGTAGCCATCTCTGATGAAAGTGGCTGCAGGTGGCAATGGAAGTTGTTCAATTTTTGGAGGAACAGCCCAAGAAGGCCTGAAGATGCAGGCATCTGGAATCTTCAGAGGTAGGAGGCACTGGCTGGGCAGGATCTTCAGTGGAGCAAACAGGGAGGAGCCCACAAAAGGTTGAAATGATGGAACTTTGTGCACATACGAAAAATCCTGTAACAACCAAACAGCCTTGGTTACAACAATGTGGTCAAGGTGCTCYTTAGATATTTATTAAAACCTATTATACTGTTCAAACTCTCTATAACTGCTTTTTCCCCMAAAAATGAACTGCATTTATTATTCTATAAAGCACTCCAGAGCAGTTCCTTCAAGGAAACTCAGCTGAGGCTCCCTGTTATCCCAAGGTGCTGCACAACTTTATGGCGGGAGGTCTCACAATTGGATCAGGCTCATTTCAGACAAGCTGTGCCTGAACATGAGTAGTGCCCTATGAAATTTTCACACTACCTAACTTTTAGCACCTCACTGAGACACTTAAAAGATTGCTCTTTGCAAGGGTTGTGTGCTGACAATGGGGAGAGGCTGAGTCGAAGTGTGAGGARCCCTGAGGTGCCTTGAGGCAGCCTCAGACTGACCCCACCGTGGGGGTTCCCAGCACTTTAGCAATAACAGTGCACACTTTGCACATGCCAATCATTAAATACAAATATCTARACAATCCAGCAAACATAATATGAATTATCAATGAAGTGCAGCCTCACTGGGCTTTTAGTGACTGTCAGGTTTGATTGCAGAGAGTGAGGATGAGAACTTCAGCCTGAGTTTCTAGAGCTATTGCAGCTCTTTCAGGAGAACAGAACTATTCCTTTTGAGGCACTACTGCAGAGTGAAAATCAGTATGAAAACAGTCACAGCAGTCTCAGTATTTAACATCTTGTTAGAGCTTTGCATTTTTTCCCTTGCACCTTGTCAAGCACTGAGGGATGAGGAATGTGTGGATCTGCAGCTGCTGAATGCTCAGCACAAGGAATCTCCTTGCGTCTCCTCAGAATGGTCAGCAACGGCTTTAGTGCCCATTTCCCCCATGGTSTGTGTGAGCAGGTGTGACACACTCAGAAGCCAATGAGCTGTGCTGGTGGAAATGCTCTCAGGCAGAATTCAAGTATTTTAATACTCTACAACGATTGTGAGGGAGATTGAAATATCTTTGGTATCAATGATGCCCTGAAACTTGCTCCCACTCAAAAACCTTCAGTTCAGCAAATTCCAAGACAGGTTTTTTTCCAGGCCTAAGTTATCCTGTTCTTTAACAAACAGTTTACTGCATAAGCAGATGAGAAAAAYCAGCAACGTCTGTGGCAAGGCAAAGTCTTACAAACCTTATAAAAACTTATTTCCAACTCCTGTAATAGTACAAAAACTTGYGGTTGCACCAGCTCAGCATGGGAAATGAAGACAGTCCTGAAGCACAGCTCTGAGAAGGTGCCTTGTCCCCAAGTGCCTCCAAGTGAGAGCTCAGGGTGGAAGGAAGGACAGATCTGGTGGTCCCAAAGCAGAGCTGCCCCAGGCCCTGGGRTCCAGGTGGCTTCTGCCTTTGGGATGGACATTGGGAATTCACCCCTTCCCTCCCTYCCACTTCTGCAAAGTTTCTCAACAGAACTGTTGGGATGAGCTCCCTGCCAGCTCAGCCCTTGGCAGGGGAATGAGCAGGGAATTCCACTTGGAATGTCCATTTGGACACACTGCACCAAAACATGGGAACACAACCCTGGAATGCTGTCCCACAGGCTGTCCTGCKTCCTGCCAGGGACAGGAACTCGCTCCTCTCCCAGGGACAAAACTGAAAGCTCCATGGAAGAAGTCACTCTGAGGTTTGCAAGTGCTTCCCCTGCAGACTGCCTGAGGGATGCAATTCCTCAGGAATTTTCCTGGCAGGAAAATGTCCTGGCTCACAGTGACCACATCACAAAGGGATCCATCAGTATCCTCACACCAGCCCACAGCCATCTCTTGTCCATACAGCTGYCAAGTGTGTCCCTGGCTCAGCAGGGCAGACCCTTAAAAATCAGCCCTCAGTGAATCCAATATGGGCACAGAGGAGAGGGAAGGAGGTGCTGCTGGGGAGAGAAATGGCTGCTGAAATAGAAGGAACAGGCTGTGGCACATGAGGGTGGGTCTGAAGGAGAAGAACTAGGCTGTAAAATCAAGGGATGGGGACGACCAGGATGCCAGAGTTAGAGTGGGCATCYCCCTTTTTAGTCCCTGTGCACAGAGCAGATTGCTGCAGAACGTGCATTTTTTAATTAAAAAAAAACCAAACAATTTCAGACAGTCTGCATGGAAATATGGCAGGGATACCGTCTGACAAAAGTGATCAAAATCAGCCCCAAAAGTTCAGTAATGCAGGATATACACAGGCTGAATGATTTTGCCCTGCTCTTTCCCTCTGATGGAACAATGACACAACCAATGCACAGCCAGTGCTGGTGCTGACCCCTCCAWGGGGTGTTCTGGAGAAATGGCCACAGCTGGGATGTCACCAGAGAACAGTCCCCAGCTACAAACAACTCATCACTGATACACTACAAGACTGAGGAGAGGAGAAACGGTGACATTACCTGACCTGTGTTATACAGAAAGTCAGGTAAGAATGGTCCCTTCTGGCCTTAAAACTTGAGAATTAACATTAGCTGAAGAAGAAACAGAGCAAGTTCAATCCCTGGGCTTTCTCAGGGAGTTCCAACCCTAATCAAAAGAGGAACACAGCAGAGAGAAAAAGGCAGCCTTGCTCCATGCACCTCTCATCCCACTGTGCACCCACCTGGCAGCAGGGAGGGGGAAACAGCAGAGGTGCCACAGAGAAATGATCTGAACAAATACATCACTGAACAGCTGCTCAGCCACAAGGATGGTGCTTTTTCATACATGTACACTCCTGTTAGGCAGAGCTCATTGCACAGACAATACTGTTTGTTTCCTGAGAACACCCAGAACCATTACAAACATTAAATTTTGAAAAGAAAAATACCTACAGTCAAAATCAGGGCAACAATTTACTAGAGAAGAATATTTGTTCAGCTCTAGGTTCTTTACATGGCTCCAGCTCACATTTGTTAGTCTGCTATACACACTCAGAGTCATTTATAAAAATCAGTGTGCACAGATGAGTTTGTGAAAATCCCACATCTCTGGCATGTTACCTTAATTTCTTCAGGTTTTGGGCTACCTAATCCATCTTCCACCTCCATCTTAAACTCAGCCAGCTGTGTTGGAACCATGTTGACCATAGGGCTCTCCATCATTCCCAAGGCTGTCACAGTCTCTGAACTGATCCCATCTTTGTAACTCATCACTGGGGAGAAGGCAGGGTGTTGTTCTAAAGAAGGTGGTGTTGGGAACATCCTTTGGAGATCTGCCACAGCTAAGAAGGATGAAGCAACACAGTTAATCATTAAAACACAAATTCTCAACGAAATTCAATAAAACAGAAGAGATCAACTCAAGGCTGGGTCTTATTTCATCAATTAAAAAGTAGCAAAGGTTTAAACAGATTTATTGGGGTTCTGACAGCAGAGTAAATCTAGACCAGAAGTTGAATCCTAGGGATAAATTCCCAAAATTCCCAGGGATATTTTGCAWGGTTATTGTTCAGCAGAAACAACAACCCAGCAGACAGACAAATGTACAAAACCAGGAGGCCTTTGCAATTTGTTTGCCCTGAGCTGGATTTCTCTACTCAGTAACTGTAGCCTCCTTTGGTCCATGGCGCCACAGCTCCTGCCATAAACATGGGCAGCTCTGCCCAGCAACAGACTGCCAGGCATCCYAAAGTTCCAGGGCCAGAGAAGCCACAAAATTATCATTTTGCATCACAAGACTTTAAGCCRGGAAAATCCCTAAATGGTTTCTCAGGAAATGAACATAATGGAATCAGCCATTGTCTATTTTTCTTCTTGAAGCAAAACAACCAACCCCAACAGAGATGTTCTGTACAGCATAATGCAATCAGACACAAATCACAAAAATCTTGCATGTTCTCCCCAGCTCTATCCTGCTTCCTTCTAGCTCCAGCTTCCATATTAATTTTGTGTCAAATTAAGCACAAATGCTCTATTCTCCTGACTTGAATTAGGACAGATCCTCTCTGGACAAAGCCATCACTRGTGAGCTCTGTGTAATTAGAAAAGGGGGAATTCTCACAGGTGCCTCTTTTTAGATACYTTTTGTGACAGATTTAATGCCCAATTCAATTTCCCAAGCTGACAGGACACAGGGAGACACTTGTATTCGGTAATAATTGCAGCTTAAAGATTATGGAAAATTCATAAATCCATATAGATGGATTTCTGACTAGTAAACACTGTGTTGTGGAAATCCAAAGAGGCAAGAAGTACTGTTCTCAAAAATGAAAAGAAAAAGGCACAAGTGGTGGGATTAGAACTATAAATGGACTATGAATACCYGTACTAACAGCACATTGCTATAGGATGCTGCAGCCTCAGGATATGCCCCCACTCTGCCTTATCTGAGCCAACCCTGCATTTGATGCTTTTATGCTCAGAGATGACACAGCCAGGCTAGTGAACTCTTTAGACAAAGGGAAACAACTCCAAATGGAGGAAAGTCCTCTCAAAATGCAGTTCTTTTGGCAATAATTGTCCAAGTTGAACCCAAAGTCAGACTCCTTCACAGTCTGGAGCAGCAGAGTAAACAATGGGTTAGGAATTATTCCCACTTCATCCATATTCTTTTTCCCCCCACTCTCAGTATTTGTATTTAAAAGACCTTAGCCTTGTCCTGATACAGGATAAATCAGTGCTGACAACAGGTTCAGCAGAATGGAAGAAAATAATTTCTACCAGCATTAGCCTGAAATACAATGTCCAGGTTGGCAGCTGGACTGGCTGCTGTTTCTCAGCAGAGAGAGGTGCTYTAGGCTCTGGAGAGGCGACAGGGAGGAAGGTGAAAATGAAGGGGGCCCAGTAGGAATTTATGATGCTGTACAAGGCACTTCAGCTCCACACASACACTGCCCTGCCTCGACAGCTGGTGGCAAGGCCACGGCCACAAGTGGAATGTATCTGTTTAACTTCACACTACATCATTTTCTCACCTCCAGYTCACGCCACTTAGCAAAATTCTGCAGTGCAGATTCATAAAAAAGTTTAATTACAAAAAATCCCCCAACCCTACAGCAACAGGCAACTATCATCATTCATTTTCATGTGTGTCATGCTTGAAAAAGCTTTGCATATTTTAAAAAGCTATGGATCAACTAAACCTGTCAAAATCCAATCTCTGTATACTTCAGACTTCTACATTTGAGTAAATCAGCACAGCTTTTATGGGTCCATAAAACTCTGACTCATCTCCTTCAGACTGKTTTTTTTCTTCACCTCAATTTGTTCTCATTACCAGCTGAAGTTAATGAGAAGGCATTAAAGAATGATTTGCAGAGAGATTGGATTTCTGCTTGTAGTGGCCACAGAAATCAAACACTCTTCCTTCTCACCACTAAGTAATTTGTAATTTGATTCGTTACTATTATACCAAAAATTCTCACCTTTCTCATCACCCACAAACACAGGCACACTTCTMCTTCATCTCAGGAGAAATACCACCCACACCAGTAGAAACAGAGRATTGTTCAGGTCGGAAAAGTCCTCTGAGATCAAGTCCAACCATTCCCAGTGCTGCCAAGGCCACATCCTTGTAAAATACCTGCAGGGATGGGGACTCCAGCACTGCCCCCAACGGTTGTGCCAGGRCTGGAGAGCCCTTTCTGTGAAGAAATYTTYCCAATATCCAGCCTGACCCTCCTCTGGCACAGCTTGAGGCCATTTCCTCTCTCTTGTCCCTTGTTCCTTGGGAGCAGAGCCMAACCTCCCCTGGCTGCACCCTCCTGTCAGGTTTGAGAAATGCAGAAAGCCCACGAATCTCAGATTTTCCTATCATTCCCAACAGTTGTTGGCACAGTCCTTACAAAAAACTCCTTATGTTTTTAACCTGCATTTCACACAATTTCAACCAAGACAGGTTACACCATCATGGCCAGCTGGTAAGTCAAGGTTTTGAATACTTTAATTTTGTTAAATAGAAGGGTTTCTACTTAAAGAGGGATGTGGTAATAGTGTAGGTGCCTAACAGTGAGCTGAGATGAGAGGGGAAAGCTTCCAAAGGAAGGTTTGTAACAAACCCCTCCCACACTTCCAGTCTAAGAYAATAAAAATGCCAATAGAAGAGCACCTCAAATCTCAGCAGGCTCATTAAAAACACGAGYGTGTATTATCACTGTCCTCATTAGAAGCTGGCAATTGCAGCACCAGTCCACCCTCTGTGAGGCCAGTGGCACTGCAGGCTGGTGCAGCCAGGCTGGGTGTGTGTGGGAGGGGTGGGCTGTGCCCAGTAAACCCCAGTTACTCACTGGGAGGGTAGGGCACTGCAGTCCGGCCGTCCTTGCCCAGCGGCCGCTCCTCRGAGCCCGCTGCCGGCAGCTTGGAGGAGCGCAGGGCTGGGGACACAGCCTGGAAAAAACAAACACTGCAGTTAGGACACATCCTGGCACCTCTCAGAGGCATTGCACAGCAAAGAAAATCTCTGCTTTCCTACTCTCCCACCCACTTCCCTCAAGGAGTCAGGATTTTTTCCCCCTCTTTCAACACTAAAACAAAAAGAAAGCTCTGAAATAATTGCCCCTCTATACAGCCCTCACAGATTGATGCATTCGTAGAACCATGYGTTTCTTTACTTCTGTGCACACATAAATTACATTTAAAAAGTTATTACAAGCCCTGAACTTGAAATGCATGTGACTGCCCCACTTGYTTCCATGTTTGGGTTACTCCCACATAATAATAGGAATATGACACCAAGCCAAACATATGCAAATGTTAAGATAGGAAAAATATTAGGGTTGTCCAGGCCAACTTCAGAGAATGAAGCAATTTTTTGTTTTKACAGAACAGTCCTTTGGTAGATTTGCATATTAACTGTGGCATCTGAGCTGCAGTTTGTGTGGAACCTCAGTAAGGAAAATGGTGCACTTGTAAGTCCTGCCAAGAACCAGACATTTTAAACACTGTTATCTACTAACAGTCACTTTAGGATCATCTTCTGTATCATAATGGCTCTATTAGATTATGCTTAAAGATAGTGACTATTCAAAGCTTTGCTTTTCCTGGCAATTTTCCCCTCTCATAATTGATATAAATCTGCATTTCCTTTTGTATTTCTTAACATGCAGCAACTATTTCTCTTTGCACTGAAATAAAGTGCTTGGTGTAAGGTTGGATTTATTTTTCTTCGAGCAGGTTCTCAGACAAGGTGAGAAAACCAATCAACCAATCACCAATTATGAAAACTTGGATCTTTTCCACCAGAATTCTCAAACATAAAATTCTGCCAGAAGTTAAGGACACAGAACTAGATATAATGGATTTATAAAGCAACTGCATGGTGGAAGCTCCTTACAGCCTGTCCACGCACAATGGATCTCCTGAAAAACCTCTCTCTTTGCCAGCAATCCTTCCCAGCTAAAATGCAAGCCAACCTGGCAACTCTGTATTCCATCTATCAGGGATAATCATYCCCACTAGGATTCCTGGGTTTTGGCCTACAGAACTCTCATCCCCACAAAGACTCACCCCCAGCTCATCCTCATCGGAGTTGTCGAAGATGTTGTCGAGGTCGTGCAGGGACGGGGCCAGATCGGTGACCTGGGTGAGGCTGCTGGAGCCGGCCCTGGCGGCAGCGCCGTCCTGCCGGGAATCTGTCATGGCCACGGGGAGAACACAGGCAAGGAGCAAAGTCAAAAACACAAAATCACCTTTTCCCAGCAGCACTGAGGCCCCTCTGCCCTGCCGGAGYCTCAGCAACCACTGAGGGTCAGTCAGGAAACAATGAAGGAGCTGCTGCCCATTTAATACAGTAAAAAACATGTCATTGTTTTTATAAAAAGGAGAAGAAAAATTAAGTTTTTTCCACCTTGGAAACTGTTTGTACGACTCATGTTACAGATAAAAGTTCAGAAGTGAATTTCCCTTCCAGATGTTATGACCTAGCTTTGAGTAATTTCGTTTTGCAGAGCAAACCAAAGAGCTTTCACTCACCAGCCTTAGGAGCAGAACTGAAAATGGACATGGCATCTTTTCCATCAGGAACTGGGGTGGAATGGCCCGTTGGGGGAATTTCCTTGGTACCAATCCCATCTTCYGACTGTACAAAAAATCAAAAGGTTTAAAATGGACATTAACTTAAGATATGTAAGAACAACTATTTTCCCACATCAAATCAAACTCAGGGSTCTGAGTTAAATGTAAGATTTCCAAAGGATTCCATGGACATCACMCAGCTCTGACAGCCAGTCCAGGTAATCAACCAACCACCTCAAATTCTCCGGGAATAAATGTCTTTTAGAATGTTTTCTTGCACACCCAGACACTGAAACAGCTCCATAAAGGATAAGACACAGAAGGACCATCATGCAGGTAATGATACAAAGTAAAAAAAAAAAAAATATATATATATATATATATATATATGATTTTGTTCTGTGGAACAAGCTTGTGTCTTCCAGAGAGCTGTAGAGAAAACACTCTGCTACGGGATAAATCCCACAAGAACATTAATGCCAAAGGTTCTGGATTCACACCTCACCTTGTTCTTTTTCAAAGGATCTTTCTCAGCCCCAAGTTTGCATTTTTTATTGACAGTGAAGCTGTAYTTGATATCTCCATCTTCGAAGGTGTAAGGGTCACTGGTGTCACCCCAGCCTTCTCCAGGGGGTTGCAGTAGAGGCAAGGGGTCAAGATAGTTCAGGGTCTGCACWGGTTTCTGCTCTTCCAAAATTTTAAACCGTTTATTAGGTTGTGCTAAGAGCCTGCAGGTGAAAGTAAAGAAGGAAACAAAGCCAYCGTGAAATAAAACCACATGATCTGYAGCAGTCACACAAACACAGCCCATGGCTCACTCCACCCCTCTTGATCAAGCAGAAATATGTTTTTTTCGACAAATAAAGGATGTATTTAGTTACATTTAGTGCCAAATAGCTTACAGTAAAGACCTACTTTGGGACAACAAAAGAATAACCAATTTTATCACTAAATAAATGAAAACACTTGGAAGTCCAGCCTTCACAGGCTGTATTTTTCAGGCTGAAACCCTTTCAAGYCTAGCAAACCCCATTGTAATTACCAAAGCCAATATTCTTTTAACTCACAAACTCTTCCTCAGTTAATTTTTGCTTAAACATTCTCACTGACCATTCTCTCTGGTGCATTTTGTCAGAATGCTGGAGTAATTTTTTTGCTAGTATAAAATACAAAAATAGCTTATRAAGAGATTTATCAGTTCTTATAATATCCAATAGAAAGCAAGATGTGGAAAAGGCATCCTGCAATAGTTTCTACTTAAGTATTTGGTGTTCCCTCCAGCATCTGTGATGGTGGAGTGAAGCTTTGGCCTTTTTCAGTTGAAAAGTASAAATTAGGGTTTGGTGATGATTAGAACACCTCAACCCCCTGCTCAGTGTGCACTCTCACCTTTTCAGTGCAGTGCTGTCGGGGTTTATCTCCATCTTGCCATCCCACCTCTCACAGGGCAGCTCCGGTGGCCGGAACTCGGGGTCGTCGCTCGAAGGGACACTGTAGGTCCTCCACATGTCCATGGTCTCGTTGCTCTGAGTTATGCCACAGTACAAGGCTGTCTCACTGACCTCTGYCATCAGAGGTAACCTCTGTCCCACCAGGACTGTCCTGTCATCTAAGCTGGGCAGCGGCTGCAGCTCCAGCCCGCTGCCATAGAGTGCTGGGTTCACAGGAACGGAAGGGGGGTCCAGGTTCTCTGCCTCCTGACCCCTGGGCTGGGGGCTCAGGGTGGGAGGCAGAGGGGAAGTGGGGGAATGGGGTGAATCCATAGGATTCATATTCATTTGYTTGCTTGGATTTCTAGCAGGTAGCGAGAGCGGCTTCTCGTATTTCCTGGAACTGGGGACTTCCAGCGAGGACTCCATCCCGGCCAGCCCCAGCTTCTGGCCCGCCGTGTCCTGCTCCATGCATAGCTCTTCAGTCACCGAGGGCCGATGGTGGAACGGCATCAGGGGCCTTTTCTGCAGTTTCTCTCCCTTGTCCTGCCTCTCGGTGGTTTTGTGCTTTGAGGAGGCAGGAGGGGGCAGTGCCGAGGCCGCCGCCGTCCCCACGCCGAAGCCGGGCTGGGTCAGCGAGGGGGGCCGGCCCGAGGCACCGGCGCAGCGCTGCTTGAACACCTTGTGCCTGCAGAAGGACGAGAAACAGCTCACTGCAGGGGCAGGGCAGGTACCCGAGCTCAGRGAAAAGCCAAACCCAAAGATCAGCCCTGAGAAACTCCCTCTCTGCTCCCGATCTTTTAACGGACTTCTAACTTCTGACTTTGGATAAAGGTTTTAAAATATTCAAACAAAATAATGCAAAACCATACAATCTTATTACTGGCTTCATACGGCTTTTTTTCAATTTGTATCCAGTATCCTTGAGACTGGGAAGAACAGAACTGAATTTCAGTGTTTCAGGTACTGCTAAAACAGTATTTTCATCATACCAGCAATGGTTCCCAAGGATGTGACAGCCGAGACATAACTCTGCCCGTATTTTATTGGTCTTTTTCAGGGAGTTTTTGTTTAGCTGTTTATTTGATTTTATTAAGCTAAGCAGAAATTGAAAGACGTGCTGTGCTTACCATTGAAACCTGTTTAAAAATAAACACCATTTCAAAATGAATCATTCCATCCCTATTTCACGAACAACAGGACAACAAAAACCCATTTCAAAACATGTAATGTGCTTTTYACCTAAAAGACAAACCACACAAGAACAAGTGAAGTGGACTAGACTGGAGACACCCAGCTTTGTCTAAAGGTGCAAACACAACGTCTTGTGCTTGCTGCCTCTTTTCCCTGGAAGCATCCAGGCTGTGTGGSGTTATCCCATCTTTCCATGGGGCTYTGCTGTTCCCAGGACACGCTACAGATTCCCTGCAGCAGCAGATGGTCTGTGGCTGCAATCACCCTAATGTGGAGCTAATGCCTTGGTAACTGGAGATTTGCCTTAAGCATGTTCTTGTAACATTTCATTGCCTTAATTCTCCATCACTCACCGGATTTTAACTGACTGCACAGAATTATTGCAGACATTCTTATCCTCACACACCAAGCTGGGTCCACAGGAGACTGAATTTGATGCTGAGTCCCAGACAGCCCTTTGAGATTCCAAGTCTAAGATCTTATCTTGACATTTATCCAATACATGGAATTGGCACAGAACTGACTAAAACAATTTCTACATGACAGTAGCTGCTGAGGTTCTGAGGCTACACAGAAAGTATTTATTGCTGTATGAAATCAGGTACTGCCTGTACTTTAAAGCTGATGTTTCCGTTTCCCAGCTGCTGTGTTTACCAACTCCASCATGATAAACTTAACACTGGAGGGATGAACAGAGAGTGAAATTGCAAGTGCAGCTGGACCTATYCATAGAATCAGGATACCACTGCCCWCTATAGACTCCCCAGCTTTCCATAGGAAACACAGGGCATTCTGACAAAACATTCATCTGCTCCACATTCTTGAGAATATAAATACAAACAATGTGTATAATCAGGAGTGAAGAGCTGCAGAAAACAATCTCTCACTTCAGACAGAGCAGGGAGTGTCCAGGTAGAATATTCCACCCTTGCAGGATGCACAATCCCTTCATCTCGTCCTCTGACAATACAAAGAATTGCATGCTTAAGGAATAACTTCTTTTGGTAAAGATCTTACAAGTAGATGGTGACCTTGGGAATTAAGAATTTCTGTACAAGGACTATTTCACTGGAAAGTGGTTTTTTTTTTCCTAGCTCTGTAACATCTCTCTGATAATTGTAAGAATGGTCAAGCAGAATTGGTGGGGATGGTCTGCCTTTCCTGAGTGAGGAGTTCTGGAATTCTAAGCACCCATGAAAGATGAGAGATGATTTAATAACCTCCCAGAGGGTTTGTGTGAGTAAGCTGTGGATTTTTTTCAGTCAGCTGACAGTGGGTGACCAGGCTGCAAAGGTTTAATATTCTCTTGGGTGGGTTTTGGCACCGTGGCAGATTGACCAGAGSYATRTGAAGTGATTTGTAGAGATGTTTTKCCTCTTCCTCCAAATATCAGGATGCTCAGAAAYTTAGACAGATTCTGTCTCTCTTCACCACAAGCCTCAACCACTTAACCACAGGTTACAGCTCTGAAAAGCTGCAGGAGGAGTTCATTATGAATGGGAACTGTTGGAGTGATCCTGGCCCCAATACCATCATTTCCCACTTGGACTGGCTCCTGCAGTGGGCTGAGATGCAGATTCAACCCCCAAATATGATCAGAAGCTTGATRCTACAATTTCCTTTTTGATGTTACAATTTCCTCTTGCTTCAGCTAAAGCAGAACTTTAGCTCCTGTAAGAGCACCTCTGTCTGAATTAAACAGAGCTCTCCCAATATGACAAATGTTTATTCTCTTCAAATCTCACCTGGAACAAGAACAACTGACTCTTTGGACTGGATCCACAAAATCCCATGAAACACTATTGTTAGGAACTTCCTCTTCCAAATTTGCAGCTGCAATTTGATTCCTCCTGAAGAAGAGAAAATTATTTCAGTCATCATCACCTTTAGGAAAACAAAATTTTAACTATGTACATGAATAAATTCACATATGTTCCCCTCAGATAAATTCCTTCCTCCTACTTGACCTTTGAAATAGAAAAYAGATCCCTGTACTACTCCTTAAATTTACAGTTTGATTGATGTAAGAGGAAGGTCCCAGCTCTGCATCAGATAACTTTGTCTGGAGTCTGAGCACAAGAAGCAAGGGGAAAGATATTAAAACTGATTCTGGAAATTATTCTGACATGCCCGAAGAGGAAATTGCAKGGAAATAGGAATAAATAAATATTCCAGGGCTCACCATGCCATGATACACTTTAAATCTCCAGTACTAAAGGCCTGTGATTCTAACATCAATTTACATACCCCTGTCAATTGAAATTTTAGTCCAGCTCCTGTAATGTTTTAACTTATTACGCTTAGAGCCCTAAATATCAAATATCTACAATCTGTTCTACAGTCACCCAGCTTTCAGTGGGGAAACTACAACTGGAGACAGAAGCTGCCATCACCAAATCTGAGAGCACCCAGCTGAAGGCACACCTTATGGATGTGTGTCCTCAAGGACTGTCACAATTAGGGTACACAACTGCAAATACAACAGGAAGTGTCAGGACCTCTCAGCTGAACACAGGGACAAAGTTTCTTTGATAATACAACATTTTCTTTGATAATACAACATTTTCTTTGATAATGCTGTTTGGCATCATTAGCTCTGATTAGTAGCAAAGGAATCCTGTAAGGAATAACATTAAGGCAAAACTATGACAATTTTAAATGCATATTTTGTGTCATAAATAAGCAAAAACATGAGGACTGCTGYCATACTTGGACTGTGCCCTGTTGAGGATGCATTCCTTCCACACACGGTGAACCATACGGTTGTGAAATTTTGGAGTAATCTTGCTTGATTTCTTTGGACTGTGGACACTGACTGTCCCCTCCTGCACAGCTGGATGGCTGATGCTGCTCTGAGAGCAGCCACTTTCTCCTGCAAGAGAAATTAAGCATTAATGTCAGGACTGTTCTCCATATTCACACTTGCTATTTTTTCCTGGAAGTCTCTTAGCAGGCTGCTGACTACACAGATGTTCACATTCACTGGGGAATGCTCAGAGCATCCTTACAAAACACAGTTCGAAGCAACATTTCCTTTGAGGTAACAAAGATAGCACTGAGCTGTACCACAGACATGGGCAATAGAGCTGTGCACACTCACAGGATGTGTTACACTCTSTATACATGTAAATATATACATAAACATAAAAATACACTCCCTAACACATGGAGGTACTTTAGACAGCCCWACAGCTCTGGACTGAATCACTAAGAAATAGTGCAGAGTATTTTCACCATTATCCTGGATGTTAAACTTGAATTGATATAGTCTTTTGTGTGTTGCTATAAAGATGGAATTTATTGTAATATGGATGGTTCTAAAAGCATCTATTAGGAAAACTAATAATTTAGGTAGAGTATTTCAAAGCAAGGATCAGTGCTTCATATTCAGTATAAAACCTTACTGAGGAAATGAATGGATCACTGTGATGTTTTCCTACAGACACAGGCTGGGAGAGCTGGGATGTTCAGCCTGGAGGGGAGAAGGCTCCAGGGAGAGCTCAGAGCACCTCGCAGGGCCTGAAGGGGCTCCAGGAGAGCTGGAGAGGGACTGGGGACAAGGGATGGAGGGACAGGACACAGGGAATGGCTTCCCAGTGCAAGAGGGCAGGGATGGATGGGATATTGGGAAGGAATTGTTCCCTGGGARGGTGGGGAGGCCCTGGCACAGGGTGCCCAGAGAAGCTGTGGCTGCCCCTGGGTCCCTGGCAGTGTCCCAGGCCAGGCTGGACACTGGGGCTTTGGAGCACCCTGGGACAGTGGAAGGTGTCCCTGCCCATGGCAGTTTAAGGTCCCTTCCAACTCAAATCACTCTGGGATTCTGTGACACTTCTTTATAATACGCTTGAATAGAAATATCAGAATCAAAACTAGCTTTGGTGAGATTTTCCAGCTGAGATCTACACTCCTACAGAGATTTCCAATAAGCTTATCACCAGTAGATACACTATTAACATAGTCTATGATATCCTCAGTATGTATTTTCTGTATGCTTATCAAAGAGATAACAAATGAAGATATTACTTCAACATGTTTGAGAGCCTGAAAACTCTGCACTTCATTCCTTCCTGTGCTGCAGACGCCTTTCCCAGCCATTGTAGGAGCAGATGTTCCTTCTTCTRCCCTGCAACGTGTTTGTGTTTAGCTGAGCCGAGCTCCAGCACATCCACCCTGCCAAGCCCGAGCTGCAGCAGCAGAGGGAGCTTTGGGTCCACGTGGCCCGGGCACGGAGTCCCTGCTCTGGGCTGRGGCTGGAACAGCACGGAAGGATCTGCTGCATTTTCACAAGGTCACCCCAGGGTACAGAACACTTCGTCCTCCTGCCTGACGCAATGCAAGCAGCCTCCAGTGGGAAACGCTGAAGGGGCTCAGTGCTGCACATCCCTGCAGCTCACGGGGAGTTCTGCTGCCTGCCAGCGGGTGACTTGCAAAACGTAACTTCTGAAATGGTGCACAAGCTGCCTAACCCCGCATTGCCTTTGATTCTTCACGTTATGCATTTCTTTCTCCACCTGGATATTCCCTGATTATCTTTTTGTAAAGTCAAACCCCTAAGTCCCTGGACATACTGGGGCTTGTGTCTCTAACCATGTATTTCACTGGCTTTCAAATGTTCTCCAAGAGTGGGAACTTGACAGATGATCAAAAAAAAAACAGGTCAAACTTCAGAACTGGCAAATGTGTCCTCGTTTGGTAAAGGAGAGAAGGAATGTGTGTGCACAGACAAACATCACGTGCACACAGACACAGCACATGTGTCAACAGCAGGAGGAAAACGAGGAAAGAGGGAGGGGAAGGGGAAGGGGAGCATAACCAAGGAGCTACTAGGGCTTTCAATTAACACTGGAGTACACTAATTATTTATTTCTGTAATTTGGTAATATTTTATACTATACAGTACAGCAATATACAGCACAACTGGAGACAGAACTGCCCAGCAGGAAAAACCACTTCGTTCTCACACACTAATACTAATTTTTATCCATGAAAACCCCTGACACAGTCCTGAACACACACTGGTACCTATGTTGGTGATGGTGTAACGAGTGCAGGACACTGCAGCCCCTCAGCAAAGGCCAAGGCACAACCAGTCCAGACTGGTTCCACTGGTGAAAAATGCCCTTCCCCAGTTCCAGGAACAATATGTTTCATTACATACTTTAGACACAGTCATGGAAAATATGATTAAAAGAGAACTGAAGAGATCATCTAGTCCAGTCCCTGTTCTAAAGCTGGATCAACATATTTAACAAACCTGTACCTTACAAACAAACACACAAAATGCCCCCACCAAACCCCCAAAACCCATCATCCCTCTGCTAATGGAATTTCTGCAACTTCTCAACAGCCAATTTATTTGGCCAATTTATTCCTTATCCTYCCTCAGAGCAAGTTTTTCCTCYTGTTTAACCTAATTTTGCTTTGCTCCTGTTTAGAATCAATACTTACTAGTGGCAGAGAAAAACCTTTCTTTTCCTCCTTCAAATTCTGCTTCTCTAGCCCAAACCACCTCAATTCTGTGCATCTTTTCCTGTAGTTCCTGTTTGCAAAATTCAGGATCACTCACACTGTACTCTCCTGGACTGCAGCCAATTTGTCCACATCTTTAWGTGCTCAAAACTGGACATGGCACTAAACCCATATTTTAAATAGTAYTGGGCAGAACTGAAGTGTTATTCCCGTGCCTCAGACTAATCCAGTCTATGGATCCCATTAAYGATTCTGGACTGCATGGCATGTTTTTGCAATCCATTTCTCCAGTTTTTCAAGGTCTTTTAAAATGTTTTTTGATAAAAAAAGAATCCTTTCATTGTTTGCTGGAGAGGCACCCTTCTGATACAAATTCATACTGCCCTCAAACAATAGCAGAGATCAAACAGGAGCTGTGACTGTCAGATTGGACAATGTGGACACTTTTATATAAATAATAGTTTATTCAAAAATAGAATCCCCCTTGTGAGCCTGTACAAGTTTAACAGGGTTCTAAAAAAAMTTAAAATACAAYAGCACATTAAAATATGCATCAATACTTGAATAGAGATTGTTATTTAAATGTTGATTGTGTCACTTCAGTTAGTTATTAATTAGTTTTTTGCTTATTTTGACTCTCAGTTCCCTTGAAAGACACAATTCCAAGTGAATTTAYATCTCACATTCTGGCTTACTAGCAGTAAATACCAAATACTTTGATTGTCTTCATCTACAGACTCTAATCATGGATAAGTCAATCCAGGCATGTTTCCTTTGGCTTTGCATCAAGGTTCAAAGGCTGGACTTGATGAKCTTAGAGGTCTTTTCCAGCCTTMGTGACTCTGTGATTCCATCAACTGACCCTGTTGATGTGACAGAACCATCCCACACAGGCTAAGCTTGGGAGCACTTTAGTGAGAGCAGAACAAGGATTTTTAACCCCCATTTGGCTGCACAGTCTCTAGAAACTTGTAGAACCTTTGCATCTTTGACATTTCTGTTGCTCTGTGAAATTTGATAAGCRCTGCCCAATGGGTTCAAAAAACCTCCCAGTTCAAGCAGAAGGTTGCCCAGTGGGGAAAGGCTTCTGTGTTCCTTTGCACCACTGCACAGAAAAGGGAGCTGAACCAAATTCACCACATTTTGTACACAGGTGTGTTCAAAGCACTGCCTTTACCACAGACCCACAAAGCTCTCCCATAACACCCATCCACTGCCTGCCCCTGTTCCCACACTCACTGCCCAGGAGCTGAGAACACCCAGCACATGATTCCCTCTCCCCAGCCCACTGCTTACCCATAACAGCCTGCTCTGGAGACGTGGGGGGAGTCAGGGGCATCCCACAGGTACTGGCAGGATCCTTCACGCTTCCAAGCCCCTGCTGTGCCACATTTATATGGCCTGCAGCGCTGGCAGCGTTCTGTGACACGGGGATGTCACTCTGGGAGATGAGAACAAAGGCTGAAGGATACACCATCCTCACACCCCCTGCAGAGAGATGGAAAACCACAAGTCTTAAACACACCTGATAATATCCAGCAACCACAGCACTTCMACTTGTTTTCAATGTCAATTTGACAAAACTTATTATCTGAAATACAAAGAGCTGAGGAATTTCCATGCTAATATCCATCCAGCCCTCTGTAACCAGTACAGAGCTGAAACAAGTAGCTCARTCCCGTGAATAATGGCATGTGGGATACAGGGAGTACAAAAGCTTGAGGCGACAAAACTACTCAGATGTTCCAGTGTCAAGAGAGCTACAGGAGAATATAGGAAAATTATAATGGCTGGTTCTGATTAATTAGATTTTTTTTTCCCCCAAATCATGAGGAGGAAAATAATCCTTCAGGCAGAATATTGAAACTTACCAACAATGACTTCGACTGCCACAGGGAAATCGTTGTCATACCCCAACTCTTCCTCCTCTTTCATTCCTTCCTTTTTCTTCAGCACCATGGGGTAGAAATACTGCCACTCCTCCATCAGCTTCCGAGTCGCGGGGTCGGACATCTTGTATGACTGGCCTGTGAGGGTCCCGTTCAACCCGTACGGACTGACCAGCACTGCAAGGGAACCAACAGAGAGCTGAAAAACTGAGCAGCACTGCAGGGGAACCAACACAGCCCTGAAGGACTGAGCAGCACTGCAGGGGAACGAACACAGCCCTGAAGGACTGACCAGCACTGCACAGGGGAACCAACAGAGAGCTGAAAAACTGAGCAGCACTGCAGGGGAATCAACAGAGAGCTGAAAAACTGACCAGCACTGCAAGGGAACCAACACAGCCCTGAAGGACTCAGCAGTGTCTGCCTCCAGAATGAAGGATCCACTCCAGGGAAAGTCACTGGGAAAACCTGGGCAGGGTGTGAATCTCAAACTACAGAGCACTGCATTGCTCCTGCACAGCTCCCTCTGAGCTAACACAGGACCCTGGGGCAGTCTGGGGTCACAGTTTGAACAGTGAGTGAATTTCCAGCAATCCCAGTGCAGTGAAACAGCACTAARGGATGAGCACCAAGGAAGGAAGAGRGGACAGGAATTCATGAGGTTACTCAGCATTAAAAAGAATAGATAACAACACATTTAGAAGAGTCACAACAAATAMGGAAAACTACTTGCTTAACAACAGGTATTTCCATTCTGACTCAATTTTGCTTTCAGTTGTATTTGATTTGAGAGTCATGAATTCAGCTCACTGAAATAAAATGTATGATTGAAGTGCCTGAGCCTCTGTCACAGCTTTACATGCAGACACATCATGTTTTTCAATAAAGCTTCTATAAATTAACATCTCTATAAATGATAATTTTATGTGTCTCTGGGTGTTTTTTTACTCTATGTTGAACTTTACAAAGATTTCTTGCTTTAATTGCTTAGAAATTATAATTTCAGACYGTAGTAAAGACAGCATAACTCAATGACTCAAAATTCTTAAGTGTTTTTCTTTTTTTTTTGTAGAGCATCACATGAAAATTGCATCATGAATTTACTAGGCCAACAACTTAATTCTGTAAAATTCTGATTTCTTAAACTGGCAAATAAACAGCCACAGATACTTCAAGTTTTTCATTGTTTCTGCTACATTTTCACACCCACCCACCCCTTGTTTTTAAAATAAAACAGCAAATACTTGCCAACATATGAATGAAAAGCAATCCTGAACCAGAGAAGCTYGGTATTTGTATCCACATAGGATTCACTGAGAGACCATGTCAGAAAATCAAATGGGTGCACACTGACTTTCTGAAATACCAAGTCTTTTTAAACAAAAATGATTGATTTGTTTGTCAGGTAATGTTAGCATAGGATACAATATTCTGGAAAATCCCTATATGGTTTATAGTTTGAAGTCCTAATAACCTCCTGAATAGAAACTGCTCCCATGTGAAGAGTTTATTCATTGATTCCCCTCTGGAGAACGCTTTCCACAGCGTGTCCCGGTGGCTCGTACCTTGGAAGGGCGATGGGGAGGACTGGGCCATCTGGATGTGCTCCTCGGTGATCAGGTAGATGGGCTGGTGCTGGGCTATCTCCACACTCGTGCACACGTTGCTCTCCCCATGCAGGAAGAACGTGAAGGCACACGACAAGTGTTCACTGTAGGACAGGGGAGACAAAAGGGAACATTGATCGGTGTTAATGGGCTCCGTGGAGGGAAATTCCTGAGCCTTGGAAGCCAAGTACACATCCTCCCATCCTGGTAATCATCTGACACAAGGATCTGTCACCAGACAAACTGACAATGTTGCCAACTGTCCCATAAATGTCTTTTCCTACTTCTTTCAATTGACAAGTTCATTAAAAATAAAGGGGATTTTAACCAGGATTCAAGCAGCACAATTAGGGGTCTTAAAAATCTTCCAAGTTCACTCTGCAAAGATTTCTAGCTGAAAGGTAATAACATAGGAATAGGAAAGACATTTGCCTGAATAAGAACCTCTATATTACAGAAAGCTGACAACRATCTAAGGTGAACCATGGATTTGCCACTTCTGATCAAACTTCACTTGAAACAAAYGGTATTGAAAATGTTTTCAGTTCATTCTACCCATAGAGTGATTCCCGTCACAGCAAACTATTTGCTTAAATATTCCTTTCTACAAAGCCACAAGAAAAAAGAAAACAAAGCACATTTCATGGTTTTTATGATTTTAATCAACTAAAAATGTACAGAGCTGCAGTGGTAAGTGTGCAGAGATTTTTCTGTCCAATTCAAGAGCTGTGCACAGTTTTATGGGTGTTGGCTTTGGCACAGGGCCAGCCCTAATGGGACCCGTGTTTTGGAYACAGCTCTCACTACCTGCACCAGGAAGAAAAACCAGAGGCAACTGCAACCACTTCACTTTAGTGTTTCAGTCAACCAACTGCTCTACTAGCGATGTAGACCTGTCAGTTGTATCCAAACAAAGGCACTGAGGATCTCGGATAGGGAGCTGCTTTCATCTCACTAAATCTCTGAATRATTCCACACATTGGGCAGAATAACTTGTCATCCTTTACCCCAAGTTACTGCTCTGTGAGCCTCAAATCCTGCCACAAGAAGAGGCCAGAAGAAAACAGTCAGCTGAGCAAAATCTGGAGAGGAAAGCTTACTTAAATGATAGGTAATGGCTCCACTTCCCCGGTGCTGCCATCCACTATTCTGAAGTACTTTGTAACAATAATTCCACTACATGAMAGGTTTCATTATGTTTCAATTTTCACAAAGGAAAGAAATTTCACTATCCTCAGTGTTGGAAAAGTAAATTGATCATTAAGTTACATGGAGGGGAAGGAAGGGAATGGGACATRGGACAAAATGGGTCAGACTCCAGGTATTTCTACCCAGCTATCCTGCTCCAAGAAAAAAAGCAAACCAATTAACCTAATAAAACCCCCTGAATAATGGATTTCTGCACAYAGAAGAAATACAAAATTAAAGCAAAGTCCACTTATTTAATCAAAGCCCATTAGATTCCTTACACAGAGTGAAAGCCTTTCATATAAAGAAAGTTTTAATAAATAAAATGCCCATGAGAAATCTGGAGTAAGATCAAGTGAGGATAATGTCTGCAGAGAGTTGACGTGCAGCAGGTCAGCATTTCCAAAGCAGAGAGCAAAGCTGTCTGTAAAGCAGTTATTTTCAACTCCTGGCTTTACGATATTACAGAGAAACACTCCAGATTCTGCAAGTTTCCTACAGGATTTGACTGTGGGTCTTGCTCGGCTGATGTTGAAYTGAAGGAAAAAAAACGGGACCATCCAGGGACCCTTTTAAGTGTTTTGCAAAGTGTTCTGGCATGAACAAATCATGTGCAATCTTATGCAACATTCACAGCTCCCCATAAACACCATGAGGGTAAGGAATACACAAAATGAGAGCTTGAAACACAAATGATTCGTTTTGTTTTTGGAGGGAAGGCAATGCCATCAAAACTTTCAATTGAGAGTCATTCAACACCAGAATTAGTAATTAAGATCATAAAATTAAATAGCTTCAGACTAAGAGTACAGACAACCAATTATGGGGGGGAAAGGTATACAAAAACAGTATTAGCCCATTTCTCTTCCCTGAATGCCAGATTAAGGAGTAACGGTAATGAATATTACTGCTCACACCCAGCAATAAGGACTCCATCAGGGAAAGACGGATCATTTCTCACACTGGATCCAAAGTAAACCATGTCCAGCTCTAGGAAGAGAACAACAAAACTCAGTCACCCCAGCAGCGCTTCCCTTCAGACCAGAGCTGGTGGAGCTGCTGGCACATCCCCTGCCCAGCATGTCCAGCCAGACCCTGTGTCCTGCTGCCCTCCCTGGCTCCCCACCGGCTTTGCCAGGGAAGAGGCACTGACACACAAATTCCCTCTGGTTCCAGTCATGGCCATAAGCTCAGCTTTCAACACCAAAAATAATAAAGATCAAGGCCTGGGGACTTGCTGCAGTCCCCACCAGCTCCTGGCAGATCCCTGGTGAAACATTTCCTTTAGTAACAAATCAGAATTTGATTTGAGCACACGCTGCTGGGCTGTGTCCCACTCTGGCATGTGCTCCCAGCCTCCTGACATTCCTGTCTGCAGTACAGCTCACACCATTCCTGAAATACCAGCCAAAAGAAATCACTCTCGCTACAACGTGAGCCAGATCTTGGAGTAAAATGCAAGTGGAGAAACCTCACCCAGTTCCAAGCAGCCAGCCSTCCACACAGCCCCAGCACAAGGCTTTATCTGAACCACCACTGAGCTCCACCGTACATCCARCCTGCTCACATCAAATAAAGCTCCCAAACACACAAATTGTTCAGATCCTCACTAGAGTCCTMCAACATTATCAATATCCAGTTTTCCTACCAAATCCACTGCCCTTTGCACCAACAAAAAGCTGAATGAAAAATGCAGATGAGACCAGGGTTCCTAAAAACATTTAGCATCATGTTCAGACTGATTCTTTACTTTATTTACATTTACTTCAGCCCAGTTCAAAAACCAAAGCCAACCAGGCTTTTGAGAAGTCACTCCATTATCTCTGCAGGTTTGTAGACRTCCTCATTTCTGTACTCTTTCTGATCAGATAATAAAATTATCAGAAACCAGCAGAAAGGCACATGAAACAGCTTCCAAACCATCTCCCTACTCCCCAAAATCTGTTGGGATACCATAGGCAGTTAGTTCAGGACAAGTACAATAGTACAAATGTTAATTTTGCACAGCTATACACTCAATTTGCACACACTAAAGAACAACACGCAGAGCAGTCAGAGGCATGGTTTGAGTCAATGCTCCCACTCAAGAGGTGAAGAAGGACAGAAGTGTGGCAGTAAGGTGACATCCTCAGCAGGCCACCAGCCATTCCTGATCCTAACTGCGAGATACAATGTGCCATATATTCCCTAMAAGAAATTCCAACTCAGAAACCTGGACTTGGAACCAGACTGAAGCATCCAATGCATTAGAAAAAACAAAAGTTGGTGGCATTTAAAATTATTTATGCCTTGGATATGGTGTAAAGTGAAAATGTTCAGCCACGTGCCCACGAACTTAGCTTGAAATATTTTTCAGCTGGTTTCATTCAGTATCAACCCTTAGGATTTACCCTATGAGGCAAGAGTTTGAGGCTTGAATTTCTTCCTTTCCTTGACTTTTTTCAGGCATACAACCAGTGCCACCAGAGATAGTSGCAGCTGCAGCAGCTTTCCATGGGAAAATTTCAACACAAACTTCAGCAAGACCTCTCATTTTCATCCCTTTTTTATAAATACATTTAAAAGAGTACAAATCTGTAACAGTACTCTGGCCACACTATGCAGGAACTCATTTCTACAGGTACTTTGTCACAAACCTTCCTTGGCTTTCCAGGTGCCTGATGGCTGCCTTGGTTAGGATGTCACTTTACCCAATGGAATGTACAGAACATATACAGAATATGTGTTATTTCCACCTCTGGCTGCACTATGGCTCAGGTGGGAAAAATGCTGAGCACAGTGGTCTTCAGCCAGCAGAATACTTCATGATATACCTTCAACATTATTTCCACTGTATTCACTCAGACTTCTGTACTAAAATTAAACAACTGCTTAAATAAAAGGCCTCTATTAGCAGAAATACAAAGAAATAGCAATGTCACATAACCTTCTCTAACAAAAGATCTGTGTCCTTTCAAATATTGCAGATATTTTTTTCTCCACAACACAGAAAGATAGAGCCTTCAATTTGGCACTTAGTCACCTGCAGCTGACATTAACTGTCTTTCAGGTGTATCCTCTGGGATCTCAATTACCTCAAATAACTCTTGAGATGCCTAAAAATGTAGCTGAATACCTTGGCTATGTAATATTTAGGACTTCCCATAATCTTTATAAATGCTAATTCCTCAGTTACTATAAATGACTTAAAGAAAACAACATTACACTGAATTTACTTACATATAAAAATCAGATGAGGATAATGAAAACCTGACTATGTTTAAACTCCACAACATTGGCAGAGAAAGGAGAACAACTGATGGATTTGGGTGTTATTTCCATTTGTTGTGAGTAAATACTCAGTGGAACCTCTGCTACTCTGTATTTAAACCACACGTGAACAAAATGCCAAGAGACTGCAATTCCTAACAGAATTTGGGATGTCTGTACTAATGCATATCCATGTATAATGCCAGACTGCACCTCATAAATTTCAAAATACACCACAAATTTAGAAATCAAACCTGCCACTGAAAATTACTTTGGGATTTGGGGGAGAAGATGCTACAAAAAACCTTAATCAAACACAACCAAATGTTCTCCTTATTAAAACAATAGTTTTATGGTATGAATTTCATCATTAGTATTTTAAGGACTTGAAACCATTCCCTGAAAACCCCTTGCTACCATGCATTACACATTTCCTAAGCTTGCTTTGTCCCAAACACTGCAATCATCTGACACACCTGGGAAGTGCAGCAGGAGACAGACTGATACTAAAGGTCCCTTAGAAAAACACAGTGACAATTTAAGAATCCTGTGTTTGTAAATACATGTCCTATTTTTAGAACAATTTCAGGGCTGGGAATTTTTTAAACACTTATTTCTCCAGAGAGGAGCTTGAGCTCCCTGCCCTCCAGGCTGCTGGCAACCTCCT